GGCCCCGCCGGGCGCTTCCCGCGCTGCCGGCAGCGCCGCTCTCCGCCAGCAGGTGGCACCGGCGAGTCACCGAAAGTAGCCGCGCGTGCGTCACTGCCGAGCCGGCGGTGCCGGGGCCCCGCTCAGCCCTCGCACGGCCAGCGGGACGATTTAGGGCATTGAGCGAGCAAATGCCAGACCACAATAAATCATCAACAAGTTGCAAGACTTCTTCCAAGTTTCTCTCCAGCCATTCGTACATGGAAGTCCGTGACTTTCCTGCTTCCTTCTGGAAAAATGGAAGTATTCCTCAGTTGTGGAGTGGTTCCAGTCCAGTCCAAACACCTGATGAAAAACGCATCTGCTCCCTGGGTGTCAGGAAGAGCTTTTCTAGGTGAAAGAACTGAAAAAAACTTGGTATAGTGCAAGGTTTTTGGTTTTTTTTTTTCTGGAATAAGAACACAGGCAGACAGCTTGTCAGGACACACTGCACTCTCTTTTCCAAATACAATTCTGGCCTCCTTTGCAAACTGCCTCTGCCACGTGGTTTTCTCCAGAAGAAATCAAGGCATTTCTCTGGGCAATTTGGAGATCATGTTTTCACAAATGAAAGAAAGTAAAGAAATATTCCAAATAAGAGCCTTTGGGGTCCTCTGGGCTGAATTTGGAAGGGGACATTCATTCCCTGCGCTGCAGATACACCACAACCTCCAACACAAAGCGAAGATGTCAAGTGAGGTCTGAAAGCATCAGTTTGACAAACCTCGTTGTCATTCTTTTTTTTTTTTTTTTTTTTTTAAGTGACTTTTGCAATCAAAGTCTAAAGCTGACAAACCACAAATGTTCCCAGTGCCCTCCAGCCACTCTGGAACAAAATCATATTCCCAGCCAAACAGACAGGTCAGAGGGGTCTCCTCTTCAGAAGCTCCTAGCCTGATACAATGACATATTACACATGGTAGAAGAAACTACATTTGTTGTTGTTTTTTTTTTATTTAAGCAGAACCTAGGGACAAGCACTATAGAAGTGGCATCCACCTATTTGCTACCACAGTGGAGATGATGACTGTGTAATTTCTACACCACCTCTCAGCATCCAAGCTTTAGCTCTAGGCTGTCCAGGAGAAGAGCCACATCTCTCCAATGGAAAGGATTTCTCACTTTTTGAGTATGGAAATGGCTGAAGGTGGAATCTAGAAAAAGGATTTCACAAGAAAGATCTAAGGTGGAACAGTTCTCACCTTTGTCAAGTCCCATTAAAACCTGTAATTGTTTGCATGTCTTTGTGTGCATTCACAAGTGAAGAGAAATCCAAACACCAGAGATCATTATCAGGAGCAGAAAGAAACCAAGGTACAGGTCTTCATTAAAACACATAAGGTTAGTGCACGAGATACAAAGAAACAAAGTATTTATTGTTAAAAGCTGTTCTAGGAATCACTCAGCATCATACAATGGCTATGGTGGCTACAGAGTAGAGAGAGTCTCTCTCTCTCTCTTCCCCCTATTCTTTATACATGTATTTGCTCACTCTCGCAAACTCACTGATGTATTTTTTAAATGGAGTTCCTCTCTTCAGTGAGTTTGGAAAAGATGTTTATAATACAGGATCTGGCAGAACAGATACATTCTATTAAACAACAGAGCAGTTACAGAAAGGAGACTGCTTTCTTTAGTAAAAAAGAGCCTTCTTTCTCTCCTTATCTCTTCATATTGCCATGAAAGAGTTCTCCACACAAAACCAGACCAACAACCCCCAAATACCTGATTAGCATTTTGGCAAAATTAGGAGCCCTAGGATATGCACCAATATTGATTTATACACTAATATTTTCACTTGGCTTCCACAGGATAAGTTCTAAACAATGTGGTGTAAAAAACCTGCCAGCTGAGACGATGTCTGCACTACAGCTGCCAACCCTGCTATGTCGAGCAACTGAATCCCTGCTGGTAACAGTGAAAATGCTTCGATAGTGCGTCTCAAAGTTCCTTACAAAACTTTTGGTTCTGTCCTTGCCTCCCACTTCCCAGGCTACACACCGACTGTGACTGTCTCTCCCAAAAGCTCTCTGTGTCCGCACACACACGAGCACACAGAATGCACAGACTCACGTGGGCTGTGCTATTTCCAAGAGTGCTTTGCACGTTATCTTGTGCTGCGTCTTACTGCCGCTTCAGTGGCACTCTGCTCCATTTTTTAATTTTCTTTCCCACTGTTGTATTCTTCTCTTTATTCCACAACCAAACATTTGCTTCCCCTTCAATCTCTAAGAAACATTTAATCGGATTCCTGCTTCATGGCCAACAACCCAGAAGACTAAATAAAACTGTTTCTAACCTGCCGTGTCAACACTCTTGCTCCAAGATACATTTCCCTACTACTGGTACTCCAGAACTCTGTTGAACCCTTTCCTAGTTTGATGCCCTATTTTCTAACAATCTATATTATCATCTATACATGAACTATTTCTATGCACAGAATGTTTTTTTACAGTATGCATAGATCTGTATTGTACTGTGGCAACTGAAGACCCCAAAACATCTTGTCATCTTTTATACACACAAAAAGACAACCATCCTGAACTTCAAATGAATTCCTCATTCACAGTCTGCCATAATTACCTGACTGTTCGGTGCCGCTACCTTTCATTTTCAATGCTCAAGCAACACTTGGTGTAGTTGCTTCCAGTATTGCTCCATTATTTCTCTTCAAATAAAATTTTTGTTTTGCACACAAGCTCTTAGCTGTACCTGTGGAACAAAGGACAAAATTTTTCTCTGTCTGTCTTCAGTAAAACACCCAAACAGTTCCTGAACACAGGAAAAAGGCATCAGGATCTCAAACCCCAGTTTAACCAAAGGAAAGACACCTGACAGCTATTCCCAAGACTCACAGGTAGTGACCAGTCTTTTTTTATAGCCAGTGAAATATTTAGATTCTGGACTGCTATCTCCAGTGCCATCTTCAGTGGCCGATTCATGCACACACCCCTTTCAGTATAACACTGCTGCTTGACAGAGTTTCAGCTTTCAGTGACACAGTTGTGAACACTGGCACCAACACCACATTAGTTTTGTTAATTTGCTCTGAAAGAGACTTGGAACCAGATCCATCCAATTAATTATTCAGAGGCTCTAAAACCAGGCTGGACTCCAGTATGCTGTCAGCTGTGGCAAATGACTGGTATTACTCTCAAATATTGGCTACTTCAGCAGGAAGGTTCTCAAAACTCAGAATTCCCTGGCAGACATTCTGCAGGCATCTATCTCAGTCCTTCTCATATCTTTGCCTATTTTTCTCTGCATTTCTTATTCCTGCAGACTGAGCATAGCCCCTGAATGTAGCTGCTCTGTTTGCCACATACAGACAAGAGTTTTATACACCGAGCAGCATGCACACAACAGACACAGCAGCATAACAAATACGGAAGCACAGTCGCAGATGGCCCCCACTGTTTTTTACTCATAATGCTTGCCTGTTGCCCAATTAGCAGAGTCCTAAATGAAGTAACATTTCTAGTCAATCACTGTGGCAGCCTCACAACCCCTAAGTATAACCAGTTTAAGACTGCATGATTTCACATTTTAATGTGGAAAGAGGTTTTAACACAAAAGGGAAAAAATTCCAAATCAAGCCATTCCCAATAAAAGGCCTCAGACAATGAGGGACTGTCATACTTTTTCTCACACCAACAGGTTTTGTGTGAGAGTACTGCCATCACATAAATTCAATCAAAAGTAAATTTGCCAAGACATCTCTGAACACAAATGATGGACTAAAAGCTATGGCACTATTAATGTGAAAACAAAGATATTAAATGCAGGGGTAAAGAGAAGACTATCTCTTCTGTGACTGAACAGAAGAAACTTTTAAGTTAAAACTAAGAGAGAAATTGGCAAAGACAGCAGAAAACGCAATACTAGAGAAAAAAACACATTTATTCAGAAGAGCTGCCTTCTTTCCGTACCACATGTGAATTTGATTCTCTTTCCAAGGAAGTGAAAGGAGGTGAAAAAGAGTAACTTAGAAGAGGATTTTGAGTGCCACATCGAATGGACAGTTATACTTTGGCAGCTGTTTTTTGGACTAGAAATCCTTTAATTACAACTCATCTGTGCACTACAAAAAATGAGGAGGGGAAGGATTTGAGGAAGATGTCCCTGCTTCCAAGTAATTGTTCCATAAATTCCCATTGTCTGAATTTGTTGTACATTTACAAAGAAGATGATTTCCAAGGGATATGTTCTCTGTGCTATTTAAGGCTGATAGTGCTTTATAACTCAACAGCATCCAAAATAACCAGCACGTATCATGTATGGGAGAGCTAAATAATTCATAGTAAGAGGCAGTTCACCGATGATCAGAACGTGAGGCCAATCCAGGGACTCTATTAACCTCCTGAAGTAAAGAAAAATCTACCATGTGACATGAAGTCAAGCTTCTTGGATTCTACACCAAGAATCAGGAAGTTCTTTTCAGTGATGAACCCTACAGTCACACACAGAAACATTAAAATAATCTGGTATTTTACATATGTACCTATTGTTAATATCTCCTGTGTTAAAGGCAGGCATCAGCAAAGCACCATTACATTATTTTAGCTTTCTCAGAATGCCTCATTTGTTGCTAATACCACTGATATTAAGGATGCATAAGAAGCTCTTATCCCAGGAATGATTCTCTTTGTCTCAGTAGAGTGTATGGGTCATACCCATCTAGTGATATGTGATTCACTTTACCTTTCACTGCTGGGGCAAGGGGAAGAGAAAATATTTGCAGCATCTGCAGAAAAGATGGCCTGACTATATGTCTTTTCTTCCAGACTGGCTCTGCATTCCAGGATGCAAATGCTCCCAGTTTGTTCTTTCAGACAGTGAGATAGCTTCTTGCACTGGTCCAGCTGAAACAAAAACTCTATTCAGGAATAAAAAGCATTCCACAGCTATAAGAAAAACTATCTTGTCTAATTCCAGGTCAGTTACTGTTTGAGACTCTTGTGTACCACAGGGTAAGAACTGCATTTATTTCTCTAAATCTGTAGTCTCCTATAACACCCATCTCAACCTCCCCCATCGGTGCCACCCATGATTCTAAGCATAGCCATTGGGATTTGCTGTGTAGTGTCTAACTTTGCACTAAAACGTAACGATGTGCGTTGATGAGTGAACCTTTAGTCTTCTTTCACACTGACACTTTTATGATGCTGTCTCTGGCTTGGAATGGTTTGAGACACCTGTCCTGGGCAATATTTTCAAGGATCACTCTAAAGCTGGTGTTCTGACTGGTGTGTTGATGGCACGCTCTCATCCAGTCAGGAAGCAGGTCCACGTGTAACAGTGAGCTAAGTAACACTGAGAAGTCCACTGGTTTGGTGGTCATGATGCCAACAGAATCTTGTGAGCAGTACTTATGTGTTACGCACTCCCAAAGATTGTTCCAATTCCTGTCGGCGCTGCTGGATCTGAAAGAAAAAGACACACTGTACAGTTTAGCAGATTAAATTGCTCAGTGGCAGGAGATGCATTTTTAAGGCAGCAGTGTGGATATTTCTTTCATACCTTGCAGTAGAAATATCTGCTCACAGCTTCTTGAGACCATGGCTCGTGATAAAATTCGGCTCTGCGTTCTTCCTCTGGGTTTCCAACCACATCAGTCATCACCTGTGACAAAAATAAAACCATTTTCCACCAAAGCTCTTCTACCACATAGAGAAACTTTCAGATTTACCCAGAGTCAAAATTTCTCTGCATTACACATAAAAATGGTCAGAACTGTTCTCAAAGCCCAAAGCTAATGGACAATGTGTGCTTACTGCCAAAACAGTATCATAGAATGAGCAAATAGTTTGTGTTAAAAGGGACCTTTACGCTCATGTCATTCCCCCCCCGCCATGGGCAGGGACACCTTCCACTAGATCGGGTGCGCCAAGCCCTATCCAATCTGCCTCCAGGGATAGGACAGCAGGGGGGTGGAACCATTCTTATGTCTTCAGCATCACAGAATCACAGGTAAATATAGTTATTGGTATATTTTGCAAAGCAGTGTTGTGGAATCACAACTCTGATGCCAGCAGGGCAGAACATTAATAGAAAAGGCTCTTATGGGGTGACTTGTCAGTCAGGGAAAACTCTGAACAACTATTCCATGAGTAAAGCTAGTGAAGCTCCACAACACCTTTTTAAGTTCTTCAAGTCAAAGTCTGCTTTATTTAAACATGTTTTTAGATGCCTGTCCCCTCTGAATACAATATAAATAATAATAACCATAATCTCAACAGTAGATTTTTGGAAGACTATTCAGTTAACAATAGGCATTTATATAAGAAAGACACAATAATTGTATTAAAATAATTTCATGGATTCAATAATACAACTGATTTTGAGGCATGTCAGTTAAAGAGAGAAAATATGAAACTTTATGAGGAACAAATTATTAATTTTTGCTGGCAGACAACTGAACGTCTTTACATTCCATTTCTTGCATATCTCAAAGATAAGCTCAAGGACAGCTGATAAGATTAAATTATGAACAAACACACAAATTGTGTTCTCATACTACAGGATGCTCCTGCTGAGTTTGACACAGTTTTGAATTCACAGAATACATGAACAAAGCCCTGCATTTCAAACCTACTGTCCGGCCACAAATGGACCTACTACTCCCATGAAATACCACTGTTCCACTGGAACTGGAATACAACCTAAACTATCTTTCCTGCATACTATCTACTCTGGGATTTCATTAGTCCACTCATTGTCTGTCTTCCACCACTTATCCATTCTAAATGTTTGGCTATACACTCTGTGTACATTTAGATAAAATTCTTCCGTTCTGGTTCCACTGTTCATTCTTTTTCAAATCTTAGCTCACCTTAAGATCCCTGCTTTGGGACCGGAGAAGGTCTTGGATGTATCCTTTGGGATCCTTGGAGAAACTCAGCATAAAATCACGTTGTATTTTTAGCTGATTTATGGACTCAATTGTCTCATGAATCTGACAGAAAAGAAACAAACCGGATATTCTTTAATTTCTCCCACGCTCCAGTGTTCATCGGGTCAGCTCTGTTACCATCTTAGTACTCCTGGTAATTTACAAAGGTGACAATTCTACACCACAGACTGATGCAGCCCTTCCTAGGGCTTTTTCAATTCAGAAAGCAGCAACTTAACTGCAATCCTGCCACTAAATTTTGGTTTCACTTGTACTTCTGCAATGCAAGTGTGTACAGCATTCTCCTTCACTTCCTGCACTGAACTTCTGCATGGCATGCAGAGCTAAGCCACGTTAGTGCACAATGTAATAACTTCTTGTGTAGAATCACTCTGCCTGCCAAGACTGGGATCTTTGAGGAAAGGTGCTGCATAAATACGCAGTTAAGCAGTGCCCAGTGCAAGAAAGCACCCTTGGTTACTATCATCATCACATCTTCAACATCCTACTGTAATGTTTAAAAACCCTATTTCCTGATCAAGTCCATGTCAAATGAATAGCCGTGACTTCTAGACTTTTTCTTAAGAGAAAACCCGTGAAAGTCACGATGGCTGCAAAAGGAAGAGTGTGAACAATGAGAAATCATGAGTAAATGATTTTGGATGAAATGGAAGGTTTATAGAAAATGAATCATATCTTTAGAAATATTATGGCAGAAATATTAACTAGCAGGGAAGACTGGAGTCAGGGTCCTGTAATGGATAATATCATCAAATATGAACAGGAAGAGGACAGTTCATGAATCATTTGCACATAGACAGACACAAAAGCAATCATTTGCTACCCTGTTCTTCTAACGTTCTAGTTTGAAATAGTAAGCCTATCTTGTTTAGTTTCATGTATTTGTCTCTTTTGCCAAAATAGCTAAGATGACAAGCACATGGGAGAAAATAATCGTTCCCTGATCTGGTTATGCCACAAGGCCACTAGTGTAGGTACTACATGGTACATCAAGAGAAGAGAGCTGTTGTCAACTTAAAATCATTCCTTCTTTGGCAAAATGCTCTAGTTGCACTCAGTGAACTCCATTGGCGTGCGCCAAATTCCCAGGAGGAGACTCCATGGCAGCACAGCAATGCAATGCACAGAGGGTAAGAGGAGCAGCCCATGTCTACTCACCCTGAAGTGACTTCAGTAACTTCACTGATCACAGCTTGCCCTGTGCTGCAGCAAATATTCAAAAAGGAGTAGACACAGACAGGAGAGCAGGTGAGCGGGACTGGAAGCAGAATAACCCTATGCATGCTGCTTGCAAGCTTACATAGACTGGGAACTAACTGACTGAGCAGCTGAAAAGGACAGGCCTTAAGAGCCTGACAGCAAAGACACTGCAACAGCTGCCAGAATCCATTGCATTGCTGCCACCCAGACCCCGTTTAAAACTGCATGAAGACCATAGTTTAACATATTTGTTTGTATTAGCAGTAAACAAAGAGAACCTGGGCCTTGTTCTGAGAAGGCATTTTTGTTTATCCCTTACCAATCCAAATCAGCCATTGACACATGCCAGAACTGGCTAACAGCCCCTAGGACATGAACCCCTAAAACAGCCTGTAAAACCCACTACTGCCTTAAGATAGATATTATTATTTGAAGCGCACATGATCCTCTTCCACTGACACTTAAAACTGCCCAAGCGCGCCAAGTGATTTTCCTGCCATGCATGTTCCATGTTTCCACCTAATGCAGAGAGCCATTCTGCAGTTAGTACAAAACCCACACCTGACTATGAGATTCTCCTAGCTTTGGCTTTGTAATTTAGCAAGATATCATGACTTCTCAATAAAAAGTTAGTCATACAGTTCTGGTGGTTTTCAAGTATCAGGGGACTCGGTACACTACCTGTGAAACTCCACCACCTCAACAACCACGTCAGGCCTAGTATCAAATCCTAAATGGGAATGCCATTCACAATGATGTACTCCCACTGCATTTGGCTGATTGATCCCTTGAAAGCACATGCCCTTAACAAGTCCCCATCTCACAACATTACTGTCTTTGACACATGACACAAAACACATGTGAAGCTACACAATGAGTACATGTACCATGGGATACTTTACTCTTGGGCTAATACCTTGTTATCCAATGCTGTTATTTCCTGTTGGTTAGCTGTTGAGAGAAGAAAACTACTCATCTGGCCCTTTAATGGGTCTTCAACTTCTACATCTATGTCATAACAAGCCGTCTTCTTCTGATCGTTGGGGTCAACACTATAGAGAGTATAACACAAGATCATGAGAACTGCCATAATAAATCAGAATGAATTTCCATCCAGCCCCAGAATTCACTCTACAATAAAGCCTGTTGCAGATGCTGTGAAAAAGTTTAAGAACAGGGTATCTTTATATATTTTCATATTCTAGTATATTTTCTCATCTTTTGTCAGTCAGATTTCAAAGACTTTTGAGCTGGAGCTTTTGCCCAGATCATCAAATTTAATTTCTAACATCCTCCTGAGACTTGTTACACTAAATACCAGTATCATTCTTTGGCTTGTCCTGCCCTAAATTTATATTTAGCTTGCCAGTGTTTAGACTTAACACTTACTTTATTGTTAGACTTAAGTTTCTTAACAAGAAAACAGTCTTCAGTATTTGGTAAATCAGACTTCAATCACTGTCACTTGTAATACAAAAATCCTGGCTTCTCAACCCTATCTGTAAAATGTATGGGTTATGTGCATCTTCAGTAGGTACTTAAAAAAAAAAATTGCTCAGGATGTAATTGAGTTTGACAGACTTGGGGGAGTGGTAGAATTTCCAGAGATGGAATTGCACTAGTAGAGTTGTAAGCAGGTGGAGGAAGGTGATCCTTCTCTATTCTCAAGTCCAGTAAGGACACACCTCTAGTACTGTGTTCAGTGCTGGGCTTCCCAGTGCAAGAGATACATGGAGCTCCTGGAGAGAATTTTGAAAAGGTCCACGAAGATGATTAAGACATTAGAGAATCTCACAGCTGAGGAAAGGCTGAGTGGTCTGGGACTATTCAGCCTAGAAAACAGAAGGCTGGTGGGGAGGGAACTTACCAAAACTTGAAGGGAGGGTTTAAAGAAGATAGAGCCAGGACCTTTTCAGTGATGCCCAGTGACAGGACAAGAGGCAGTTGGCTCAAACTGAAACACAGGAGGCTCCATCTGAACACCAGGAAATGCATTTTTCCTGTAAGGGTGACCAAGCAATAGCTCAAGTTGCAGAAATACCCTCAAAGCCCATCTGCTGTTACCCCAGCCTGGAGTCTCCCATGTTGGAGACACTCCAAAGCCATCTGGACATGGGGGTGGCCAACCTGCTACAGGTGGCTCTTCTTGAGCAGGGAAGGGCATTTGACCAGATGACTTCCAGAGGCCCCTTCCAACCTCAAACATTCTGAGAATCTGTGATGCTGTGAGGAAGCCTGCAAGAAGATGAGCAGCAGAAGGGAAGCTAAGGGAAAACTCAGGTCTGGGTCTGGCTCTGCCACTCGTGTCAAAAGCCACAGAGAAGGCTCCACGTTGTCTTTGGCTCCATTGCTCCTGGCTGAGTCCTGTCCTCAGGCCTCCCAGGGTCCTGAGCCCAAGTCAGTGAGGGCAGCAGGGCTGGACAGAGGGACCCTGATGGGCTGCAGAAACACAATGGCACCTCAGCACAGTAAAGTTCAGCACGGGAAAAGCTCTGCTCCTGGCATAGAATGACATCGTGCAGGGGGACAGGTTGGCAGGAGAGGACTCGGGGGCCCTGATGGACAGACAACAAGTGCAGGAGGAGTCTGTGGGGTAGGGCAGCCACGGCAAAGGTCAGCTGCAAAAGGGGCTGTATTAGCGCAGGTGCTGCCACAAGCCAGCAAAGAGGCTCCTCCTTGCTACGCCACGCTGGTGAAACTGGATCTGGACTGGTGGGCACAGGACCACAAAGATGTGACACTCTGGAGCGAGGCCCACAGAGGCACAGTAGGATGCTGGGGGCTGCAGCAGAGACCTGCCAAGAGAAGCTGCTAGAGCTTCTCCAGCCTGGAGAACAAAAGGGAAAAGGAGATTCCCTGGGAGCATGTGACAAACGGACTGCTGAAGCACAGACAGGGCCAGCCTCCCCTTGGAGCTGCGTGACATTAGGGTGAGTGAGAGGCAACAGAAACTCACTGCAGCATGGGCAATTCACTCCCTATAAGGAATTGGTTTGTAAAAAGTCATGATGGTAGTCAAAAAGGGGGAAGCCAGAGATAACCTGTTTGTATGAAAAGAATATTGGAGAGCTATGCTTTGCAGTCTGCTTGTATTCTTTAATAGAGTGGAAAACGTCTCGCTTCTTTGCAGAAATGGAAATCCCACAGAGGTTCTTCTTTGTGCCTCTGATTTCAGTTGCATCAACTGCAATTAGAAGTGCAAGTCAAGAAAATCTCCACTTCTAGCTTGAGGTCAGGTGAGATTTGACTTCTACCAGTTTTAAATTTGATGCATTCAGTATTGTGGGAATCAGAAACCATTACAGAATCTGTATTTTTGATTGCATTCTGCAGGTTTGAGTCTACCTGGTATTTAAAATATTTGTCAAGATCACACTTTTTGTTCATCTCTACTTTATGTCCATTTCAGTGCATTGCATTGTTTCTTCCTTTTTTTCAAAGGTTCCTAGAGCGTGATGCTACAATACTATTATAATTTCTAGAATTAGTTTAGAATACTTCACATTTTTCTCTCTGTGCATATCCTCTAAAACTAGAATGAATAATTGTGATCTACTTGATATTCCTGTAAAAGACAGGCCTGAGGATTTATCTGAATTAAGAGCACTTTTATTTACAATCACTAGTAATGAAAAATTCCCTGTAGTAGTGTGCTGGTTTTGGCTGGGATAGAGTTAATTTTCTCCATAGTAGCTGGTATGAGGCTGTGTTGTGAATTTGTGCTGGTGTCCTGGGGTGACTACATGTTTGTTGCTTGTATCCCCAGTTGTCCATTCTGTTTACACTGGATATGATGTTCTGCACCTTTAAGACTGGTTCCAAGAGCAAACGGAACCAGAGAGAAGTGCAGAGTTTGTTTGCAGCGAAACTGCATTTGTTCCCCTGCATTTCTCTCTCACAAACTGTGTTGTCTGCAGCACAGAGAGTGGGAGAGAGCTCTCATTTGCTTTTTACTTAGTTTTTTTTAACTAGCTGAGGCAGAGAAGTTCCCTGGACTGTGGCTTTTTCTTTTTCTTGGAACTGTTCAAGCCTGCTCTGGACTGAAAACCCAGAAAAAGACCAGGAGCTCACATCTGTGGCTCACCAGGGTCTGGGACGTGGCATTTTTCAGAGCAAGTAGGACTGATAAGAGGGTGAGTGAGCCAAGCTACACCCCACAAGGACTTTCTGAATTTGCCCTCTCTTTAGAATTGAGAGAGGTTTTATTGTTTAATATTATTATTTTCTCTTTTTTTTTATGCTTGTGAATACTTTGCTTGTTAAATAAACAGTTTTTTTCACTTTTCTCTAAGGAAATCTTTTCCTGAACCAGTTAGGGGAAGGGCCGCTTGAATTTGCTTTTCAGGTGGGATGCCATTCAGAGGTTTCGTCCCAAAATTTGCCCTAAACCAGAATAGCTGGAAACAGTTGGTCACACAGACATGTTTTCATCATTGGTGATCACTGCTAACAGCGTGTTGATACCTTTTCAGCTCCTCACGCTGCCCGCCGGCGAGGAGGCTGGGGGTGGACAAGGAGCCAGGAAGCAACACAGCTGGGACAGCTGACCCCAACTGACCAAAGGGATATTCCAAACCATGTGGCACCAGAGTGAGCAGGAGACTGGGGCAGGTGTTCACTGCTCAGGGTCTGGCTGGGCATCAGTCAGTTGGTGCTGTGCAATAGTTTTCATCTGTATTCCTTGTAGTGTTGGATTTTGTTCATCACCATCACCATCACATCATCATCGTCATCATCACCATTTGTTGTATACTGTCTTTCTCTCCCTGTAACCTTTTCAACACTTCCCCCTGCCCTGCTGGAGAGAGGATGAGCAGATGTACTGATTACGCCAGGACAGGCAGTTGGCATATTGTTTTAGTGGCTGACTACGTTCACTCCAAAAAACTGAATGCAGGGCGACAGGACAGAGCACGTGTGAGACCCTGTTTTAAGTTCAGTTGGACCAGGCCCTTAAGTATCCTGGATAGACTTTGAACCTGATTTGAGTTTGGATGGGGGAACTCTCAATGACCACCAGCAATCCCTTCTAGTATAAATTATTCTGCAACTTTACGAGTCTAAAAATCACTTATTTTCTTCAAATTCAGTGACAGGCTTCCAGATTTATTTTAGCTTAACCCAACACTGTGAAGACTTCACTGCAAAAGTGAAGTGAACTGCCTGTTCCCAGGAAATGAATTCTTTCTTTTTCCACACTGTTACATCAGTACTGTTTAAGGTTATCAGGTGCTGTGTGGTGCACACAGTGTATCAGAGAGTGTATCAGAGAACGCTGCTAGGCACAAAGCTGTAGCTCTGTGACACACACCTGTTCTTTAGCTGGTACCTGACAAAAACCACTCCCTCCAGTACCTTTTGTCATCTCTCTGCCCCTGGAAACATAATCATCAGTTTCTTGTCGTTTTTCTCTAAGCAATGACTATCTATCTCTGAGGACCTCAGTTTTTTTGTGGTCCATCAGACAGGTCACCGAGTTGTGCCCCACGTACGTACACAGCTCTCAATCTGCATGGCCACCAAGCTACTTTTTCATTACTCTCTGTTTGATATATTCAAATTAATCAAAAAGCAAATTTTATTTTCATAGCCTATGTAATATTTAAACGTGTTACATATGTTACAAATTTAAAATAAAGAGCCAAATTTTAAGCAAATTCAGAAACATTTGCATAAAAATATATTCTGTAGGAAATCAAATCAGTAACTTAAGTAATAATAATGTCTAAACACTCAGAATCAGAGTTTTGATCCTGACCACAAAGAATCTTGGGAAGGATTGAAATATACAAACAGTAAAGTTGCAATCCCCAGAAGCCTCTTTATCCCACTCCTCCATGTACACAGTTGTCACTTAAATAAGGCACATGCTGGAAGAGCCTTAGAGAGCTGCAAGCTGTGTTTCATCTGCTGTGCCACAAAGACAACTGTTTTGACAAAGACACGAGAGCTCAGTATCATAGTCCCAATGACCTGCTCTGAATCCACGCATTCTTTGCTGTTAATCTCTGGAGATCTCTTGACTCCTTGTCATTCTCAGGATAAGACTAATAGTCAAAGAGCTAACCCAGTCCAAACAAGGCATGCATGGACTGGCTCTGCATTTGAAATCGTAATGCTGATGTACATTTTACATAATATATCAGGAGATTAGAATGATTGCCCATGATGTACAATTCCTCATGTCAATTTTTTATCTCTTTCTGTGGATTCAAATTTTCATTCCTCTCTCCTTAGGAAAAAAGCCCAACCAACTCTCTCAATGGTATTCTAGTAAACATAAAAGCTGTTTTTCATACTCTTAGAAAATTGGTGTCATGCTAGTGAAAATAATTCAGAATTATACAAACTAGAATGACACATAGAACAAACACACAACAAAGCCCAGGGTATTCACCTGGAAGTTGTAAAAACTGGTTTCTGGCCTCTACAGCTACTGCAGCTCTTTCTGTACTTTATCTAATGAGTGTTTTGCACATGACAGTGCTGAGCTGACCAACCAGCTTACCTGATGATGTGGTTTATCACTATTGGGTCTGGTGGCAGCAGTAGGTTAGTGAGTCTCTGAGGAATTTCAGAAAACTTTAGCCGTGGACAGTCAAAGATCTGGAACACAATAAACAACAAAAGTTGTTTGTCCAAAGCCTATCTTGCACTTAAATGAGAAAGTAAGAAACCTGCAGCTCACAAAGAACTGAGGCAATTACGGAAGATGATTTTGAAACCTGCAATTCAGGTTCCTTGAACAGGTTAAATTTTTGGTCACTTCTGTCCCTGTACTTTTTTCTGGGTTTACAGATTATCCATCAGGTCATGACAATTTCAGGTGTCTCAATTTTGGTTTAGCTGCTGGAGGGAACTGGACACTTTACTGGGATATGAGGATCAACTGTATCAATGACTAGAGAGAAGCAGATACTCCCTCTCTCTTATTGAGGGTTTACAGCAGCATATTGTAAAGAAAATGATTGTATTTTTTTACCAGAGAAAACCCAAAACCAGTTTGCCTTTTTCCTCCCAAGGAATGTTTTCTGCAATATTTTGTGCTACAGAAAAATACAAGAAAACATTTCTGGATTTTAAAACTATTTGCAATTTGTGGGTTTTTTAGGATTGCAGAAAATGAAATCAATGTGATATTATTTATTTTTAACCAAAGCCTGAACAGCCCCTTGAGAGGGATCCACCCCTTTCCAAATAATGGTTTATGGTTACTTTCTCTTTGCTATGGTCTTGAAGCTAAATAGAATCATGGACTCCTAGAATATTCTAGGTGGAAAGGGACTCACAAGTGTCACTGAGTTCAACTCCTGGCTCTGTACAGGACAACTCTGAAAATCGCACAATGAATTTCTGCTGAATTCAGGGGGGAAATATAAATATTCTGGAATGGGTTAAAAGCTGTAGAGTTTGGAAATTTTCTGTGGACAACTGAAGTGCATTGCCATGAATATAGAAACAACACTCTTTACACCTGGAGCTGTCAGAAATATAATTATTACAGCCTTTGTTTCCTACTGTGATTTTTAATGCTCTGAACAGACAAACACATTTTTCTCCAAAGATACTCCATTTAAACTGACCTTAAAAAATACAAACCCGAACTTTCCCTATATTAACATTTGCCTTAAAATGTGCCCTCATGTGGAGGCAGTTTGTAAAAATGCTATTGGCATTTGGGCATAGGCCCAAAAAGGCCTATGCAAATGCCTCTTAGGGAAACTATTTTCACCTGACAGAAGAGATACACTACTCATAGTATTGTATCTATAAACAGAAACAACCTTTGCAGCTCCAGAGACAAAGGATGCCGGCAGGGCTGAAAATAAGACTCTCTGGTTCTAGAACAGACATACAAAGTCAGATGCTCTGGTTTCTCAGATAGGGTATCTTTTGAAATTCACAGTTTTCTCAAGTGACTTTGGCAGCAGAAATACCTAGGAGCCAGCTCCAGGAGCAATTTGCAAGGTTCTATTGCTTTTGAAATACCTTTGAACCTTTTTTCTTGCATTTGCTTGTAACACAGTGGATTTCAAATCTGCCTGCTGATATAAACATTGTTTTTGAACAGAAAAGGATCTGTCTTCATTGGCTCTAAAACCTGTGTCATTAATTGCCCACATCCAGAATTCAGCCAGCTAGTTTCTGAAGAACAAGGAAGCAACAAAACCTACTGAGTCTGCAGCTCACTCCTTATTTGGGTTCTGAAATCTGGCACTTGACAGAGAGGACTGTGGAATTCCCACTCAAATTCTCTCCACACCTGGCTCCATCCCATCTGCTGTCACCACTGGCTCAACACTCATGTCAAACTCCTAACATGGATGCATGTCAGAGTAACAAGAACTTTAAGAAGGGAAAATGGATCAAGGACACACATTAATTAGTGAGAGGAGGATGGGAGGCTGGAAACTTGGGGGTGGGTGGAATTTTCCTAAAGCTTCTCACATTCCTGCCTAACTGGAGCTGGTGGTCTAAACTAAGTTAAGTTCTGAAAGCCTCTCTGGCTACAGTGATCCTGGTGGGTCAGCTAACTCATTCAGTTATAATTTTTTAGTCTGTACTGTCTTGTGCTCTTAGACATAACCACAACACAGCTGTGCAGGATGCAGAAAAGCTGGCATACCAAATGAGATCAGTATGTCAAGGGGAATGCCAGAGACACCCGTGCATTAGGGTTGTTAGCAGATGTACTGCTCCCCTGAGTGATACACACACTTCCAGCCAGGACAACGCTTTTCTTTCAGGAATTACATGGCTAGAACTATAGAATCTACAAAATATTATCAGACTGGAAGGCAAATTCCTTTGCCTTCCATATCTCAACCTGAGAGTATTAGTGAAAAAACCAAAAAACTTCATCATAAAATACTTCATTTATTGTAAGGGGATTCAGATTCCTAAGTAGTAGCATCAGTTTTGAAAGCAAGATCAGCTAATTAGGACAGAGACCTAAGGAAAACAAAAATACTCAAAACAATCCCACTTATGATTTAAATCTGTGCAAGCACTGAATTCTTATGAAACTATTCTAGATTAGCCAGCTCTTGCAGGGTGTGAGATTCAGTCTTCCCTAAAAGCAATCAGCTACTTCCCAACTCTCTCACTTGATTCATCTTCTTACTGTGAGAGGATAATTGTCACGTATCATAGCATTCCTGCAGAGTTCTAAGACAAAGGAGACCCAAGAGCAAATAAGTCTCTAATGAGATGCACAAGAAAATAGCTTCAACAAGTTCTTATTCTAACAAAGTTCTAAACTGAAAGTTAAATAAATAAAATTGATACGGCCCTCCTGCTTACTAAAACTAAGATATGTACATATCTTATTTTGGCCCTTGGCAGTGGCCAAAAGTGGATACTAAAGGAAAAATCTAAGAACAGGAGAAATATATATTGGTTCTTCCCAAAAAAACTCTCCCAACTTCCTCAGCTTTGCATTTAAAACAGCCCAAGATTTTTCATCCATTGGTTTGTCACTTTTGGAGTCTATATACACTTTTATCATTTGTGAGGTTCTATTTCAAGGAGTTTTGAAGCTTAAATATGCTGGAGTCCTTTTGTTTGTTTTCAATTTGTCACCCGCCAGTTTTAGTTGATGGACTGTAATTATTGACCAAAATAGAAAAAATTACTCCTTTTTTACCTTTTTCTTTCTGCCCATGATTTTTCAAATGTTTTTCGCCTCCCCTTTCCCATTTCCTCTTTGGGCTGGCAGAAACAAAACTCAGTCTAAATTGGCTATAGATAAATAAAGAATGGAAATCAAATAATCTAACCAAGAGAAGAAACAGAATTGTCATTTTGCCAAAATTCTTATATTATTTTAATATGGAGTTTTCACTATTTGTGAAAAAGACTGCTGCAATTCTCAAAAAACCAAAACCCAAACAAACAAGGGAGTAATTACATAATCCTGATCACTTTGGTTCTATATTCCTAAAAATACCCATGAATCTCACAATTATTTTAGTGCATTTTGTATTTTCAAATGTGCAAAGGTGTCTTTAAGTTTACTTCAAGCATTGGCTACTTTGAACTGTTGTAGGGCAAATTTATAACAGAAAATAAAAACTTGAAAACCAGGACACAAGTTTCATCACAACATTTACCTTCACTGCTTGCTACATTTTCATTCATTCTAATTGGCAGTACTTTCCTTACACAGAAGTATGTCACAAACTCTACTTTCAATTACTTTCACAGTAAGTCATGTGAGCCTGAACAACAAAGCCAGGTAAGACAGTGATAGTTCAGTTAACATTACTTTTGAAAAAACACTTGATAGTCATATTTACAGAAAGAGTGGAGATGCTTTTACATGGCCTTCTTGGTTAATTCTAGAGGTCACTGTGAAAGACAAAAAGTCTTTACATGCTATTTTCAAAACATCATGCAGATCATTAAGGATATTTCATTATCTGAAGAAGATTTAAATAAAAACAGCTTTTCTAATTACATCTTCCATGTCTTCTTCCTTCCTAAACAGGGAAAAAGAAAGAAAACAGGTCTACATATGATTTGACAATCAGAATCAGCAGGTTATGTTTCTTAGCATAAAATGATACAACGGAGGAAAAAGCCCATCAAATCAGTACAGAAGTCCTTCTTCCTGGAAAGGCCACCACTTCTGTGGGAGTGCTGAATGACCAGATGTAGGAGGTTTTGACAACACTGCCACATGGAGAAGGTGTTAATGATATTTGTTGTAGTGGCTGCCAAAAGCCATTCGGTACTGAGGATACCGTAAATCATTAAGGGAAAATAAAAATCAGTCATTTTCATTCATCCCAAATTTGTGGCTGGATGTTACATTTTGCTTCTAAAGAGCTACTAAGGCCAAAAAAGAGTTACCTGCTGGAAGTACTTGTCACAGTTAATGTACTCCTTATCGTGAGAGTCTTGCAGCTTGTTTGTTTTGATGTACTGCCAGAGAGCCTGGATGATGGCTGAGCGTGTCTGTGTGTGGATCCCCAGCAGACGGGCCAACCGTGGGTCCAGCTTAAACTGGGGAGGCTGGAACAGAAAGCCAAGGAGGTGGCAATACAGAGGAAAGCAGACAAATACACAAGTATGAAGTTTCAGTTTTAACTATCGGGGGACCTCTGTTTCTTAGGAGAAGCATCCCATTCAGTGGCAGAGATTGCAAAAATACAAATCTGTATTTTTGCGTCCCACCATTGGTGCTCTGGAAGTGGGACATTGTACCTGTGCTTTGCACAGAGACAACCTACAGCACATGCTCCCAACAATAAAAACTTGCACAAAGACTCAGGGAGAATTTTCCCTTTCAACACTGATGCAAAATTTGACTTTTGGGAATGAGAGAAGAAAAAGAACAGCCCTTCCTCTGAAGTACTGGAAGTTAACCACAGAGAGAGAGAAGGAAGGCAGGATGACACTTCCACAGTTGCTAGTAACTGCTGTCTCACATCAACACACTGTCTGGGAACTCTGTTTATTCAGGCATGTTCCCACCATTCTGGTGCACACCAAAACACTTACCCAACCACAACCAGTCAATGGATTTTATTTCTTTTCCCGATATCAGTAATACAATTCAACTTCCCTGCTCTTCATCTCTTGCAGCATAAATTCCTTGGATAATCTGGAATTTGATGCTTCTTCAAGTGTGTACTCACTCAGGTTTAGTATTCACCACATTATTAAGTAAGGATTACTCTGATGGGTGGCAAGTCACCCAAAGCTATCTTTATAACAAATCAAGACTTAAGGATAAAAGAACATTTATTTTAAAGCATAAATTTATAATAATGGTGAGCATAACAAACATCATTATACTGTCTTAATAGTAAAAATACTTGCTGCTTGTATCAGTATTTCAGTTAGCCCATGTGCTCCCTAAAAAGTAATAAAATTTTCTCTCTGTTAACATAAAATGAAGTGTCTATATCCTGAATAGATGCTATTTGCCTGGAGGCAAAAGACAATGGCAGAGAACAATTTCTTAAAGTTGCACCATCAAAATGCATCTGAGCCTTAACTGTCACTGAAAAGGGGGATCCCATCTACTCGCAGCAGTGCATTCTTAACAGTTTCCTTAAGACAGCAACATTTCTTCTCGGGATGGTTTCAGTCAGATTAGTGATCTTCACAACTGCAGCGTCCATCGTTCGTGCAAAGGTAAGGCTGCCACAGCTATACAGCTACTTCAGGTACCACTAGCAAAAGCTTCTCCTCTGAATTTTTTTTAAAGAAACATACGTGTAACTTGTGTGCAACTTATCTGACTAGTCTCTAAGAAGCTAGAGGAGAAATGGGTATTTTTTCTGCAGGTGGGCAATAAAAATGCTAATTATCATAATGCCAAGACCAATATTTTGCTAGACTATATTAGAAATTCACTTGATTTGTCCCCTTTAAATTTTAAATAATCTGTCGGTTTGGTATCATTCTAACTTCAAGGGACCATGTGACACTGCAAGTCCAAGTATATTGGGTTTTGAGGTGTGTGACAAGATGAATTTGCTCGGTTGCACTCGGTCCCATTGGCTGGATTTTCCAGGATAAAAGCAGTGCACTGACCTGGTAGTCCAACATGAGGAGTAATGTGCATCGCACACTGACATCCCCAGGTCTCTTCACCTGGAAGCCGTCCGTTTCCTGGGTCGTGGGAGTTCTGTGCCACTAACAAAGGGAAAAGGAAAACTGTTGGCCTTTTTTTCACTGGTGTCCATCGAGGTACATCTTGCACAGCACACCATGCCAGAATCAGACAAATACAAACTTTCTGAAGATCTGGCAATCTAAAAAAGAAACCCGACAACGAGAAAACCAAACCACAACACTCCCCCCCACCTACATGCCCCCAGTAATTTCAATTCAGTTTTAGTGCAGAATCTTCTCTGCTGTTAACATACTTTACTTGTTAGGAGAAATGTGCACAATATTTTCATCTTTTCATACATTCTGTTCTAAGATGTACTGATACATATCAGTATATATGCATATATATATATACACACACACACTATATATATATTCTCTTAAGAAGAATGGAATTTTGAAAACTTTGGAAATATCTTCAGTGAGGTAATGAATACAAGGTTTCTTAAACAAGGGAGGCAATAGGCACCAGGTGTTTATATGTGCCAGTGGTTTGTATGCAAAGGGTGCACAGCCTTCTCACCTCCACAAGATGATTGTCAGGTCCATAAAGATCTTTGTCCAGTTCAATAACCAAACTCTTAAAAAAAGATGAAAACTTCCGTTTCTGTTTGCTGAGCTGTACAAGCAGAAGAACCAGACATGTGTAAGGCTGCATTTATTAGCTTGTGTCCTAGACTTTCTTCTTAGTCTCTCTGTCTTGCACATTAAATCCCATATAAACTGAAAGTGTGATCAATTTAATTGAGTTCTCCCTCTGACAAACACAGGGTAAGATGCAAAAATCTCAAGAGTACACACAAGGAACAGTGCACACTTTAGGGAAGATCTCCTTGACTCTTTATATTATTGAAAAGGACTGGCTTGTAAGGTGAATATGACATCCATGAGGAAAGTCCAGAGAACGGCAATAAAAAATATCTCAGGACTGGAGCACCTCTCCTGTGAGGACAGGCTGAGAGAGCTGGGGTTGTTTAGCCCAGAGAAACACAGGTTCTAGGGAGTATTTAAAAGGGAACTTGTAAGAAAGATCAAGGGAGACTTTTTACCAAGATCTGTAGTGACAGGGTGAGGGGCAAAGGTTTTAATGAAAGACAGTAGGTTTGGACTGGTCTTAAGAAAGACATTTTTTACTCAGAGGGTGGTGAGGCCCTGGCACAGGCTGCTGTGGCTGCCCTATCCCTGAAAATGTTCCAGGCCAGGCTGGATGGGGCTTTGAGCAACACCGGCTAGTGGAAGGTGTCCCTTTGGGATGGAATGAGATGGTCTTGAAGATCCCTTCCAACCCAAACTATTCTATGATCCTAAGTCCTCTGTATACCTTCCTCTTAACAGCCTGGGATTTTTTGATGAATGATTATTTCTTGGTCTGATTTATCAGATTACAGTAAATTCTGCATAACTGGTCATACACTAAGCAAAACTATTTCAATTTTTTTATTTTCATTTAATTACCACTATTTGTTGTTTACTGCACAGCTCATAATGTCTGTATTAAAAACTAGAAGGTCTATCATTACCTAATCTGACTCTCCACAGAATACAGGCCACAAGATTCCAATTTATTTATTTGTATTTAATGCAGACAGTATTTTATTTTAAAATGCTGGTAATTGAAAAGCTATGTTGTTCTAATAAAGAATCTTTTTCTTTATTTAAAAATATGCTCCAATTTCTAAACTGAATTTATCTAACTTCAATTCACAGATGTTGCACTTTGTCACCACTTCCTCCTCCAGGCAAGACTCTGATTCATGTACAGTTACCTCCAGACAGATTGAAAGCCTTTACCTCTCCATGCATAAATGTTCTCCATCTGTTTAGCCTATAAATACTTAGTTGTGAAGTCTATTCAAATAGGTGATGCCTTTAATAGGAAAGTCCAGCCTTCCCCAACGACAATGAAATCCACCACTGAGGTTTCTGAGGACTTCATAATGGTAAAATGTTTCTTCCATCCTTGCTGTAACCATTCATACATCATGTTGTACCCCCTAAGAATATGAAGTACTCCCTTCTCCTTCTTATCCTGCTCTTTACAAGATGCAATGCCCACTGTAGGCTAGAATTCTCACACCTGTTGTAATCTGAACCCTGCCATCTCTTTAAAGGGATTAATCTCAGCCCTCTTCTCTCCATTTCCTCCTACCTGTCCTGTCCTATCTGCCTCGTTTTCTGCTGCATTCTCCAGCATTCCCCTTAGGGCCTTATCCCTCACTTGGGCTGGGCACACTGCCTTCCCAGCAGCAACAGGCCAACACTGCCATTCAGACATGTCTTGTCTCAGCTATCCTGTCTCAGCTGATGTCCCCAGCAAAACCTACCACCCCAAAGGACAATCCTTAGATTCCTGCCAGCCCCAGTGAAGCAGAGATAACTCATACATCATCCAGGAGCTTCCCCTCCACGCGCAGCTCCCACGAAGCAATGCTGCCATCTGAGTCATCAGCGTCTGATTTTGCAGGATTAAATGTGTTGGAAATGTAAAGTCTCAGTTTCCGCTTTTGCTGTTATGCACATAGACAAGGGAAAAGTACATATCCAGTTTAAGTTCAGGATCTGATGATCACAGGAAAGATGATAATTACAAATTTAACAGGGAATCTCCATGTTTTGTACAGTTGCACTAGTTGTATTAGAATTTAAGATTCTGTTGCTAGTATGAAAATACATTGAAGAGCTGAATCTGAAAATTCCTTTCAAAAACTCTTGGCTATACAAACATGCTGATATTCACTGTAAATGGAGGAAGACAAGGGGTTGCCAAGCCTGAGAAGTGATACATCCTGTACTTGTGATCAGATATTTGAGAAATCATCGTGAGAAAAGCATGATATTATGTCCTTTCTGGCTTCAACCTAGCTGGATTGCTAAAATTCACCTGCAACTCTATTGCAACCCAAATGTCTCTCACAGTTGTATCTGTTCAGATTTGTAAATGGCAGTCACAAATACAGCTCATGCTGCAAACTACCTGCTGGGCACATCTCTGCCCATCTGCATTCCACCATGATACAGCATCTGGTACTAACCCTCTGGCAGACACACCTGAACACACTGACACACACATGCCTTACCCTCCTCTTCACCCCAGCTGCCTCCACCCTCAGCAAACATGCTGCAGCTCCAGCTTGCTGGAGACCCGAGTTGGAGGAAGGCACCCTGCTTCATCCCCAACCCAGGTGCTCAAGTCTGCCAGAAATAAAATCATGCCTATTCATTGTCATTTTTACAGACCACCTGAAAGTTCCCCAGTCACTGCAGTGGCTCATGGCTGTGTCACTTCTCAGCACCATTCCTTTCATGCACCATGTGGAAAACCCAGCTATTAAGTCTGATGCATGGATTCCAGGAAAGATTATTACCAAAAATTACTTTGGGATCCTAAATCTTCAATACCTATGTGTAACAATGACAAAAACACTACAGTTGTCAAGTTAATGCTGACAAAACATGTAAGAAAGGAGTAATTTTGTAAAGCTTTCACACACACATAGGAGAGAAGGAAGCTACATACAGCAGATTATACAGCATAATCTGGCATAGAGCAATGGGGAAGACAGAGATGTATGGCAAAAGAAGAACAGGAAAATTACTACATTTTGCCAGATCTGGAGAAGACAGTGACAGAGAGGTTTGACAGAAATGGAGTGTCAGCAGTATGCTCTGACAGGGAACAGGATTTTCCAAAGTGCCATCAGTGGAGAAAATGACAGGTTTACACAGGTATGAACAGGCAGACAGGCAGAAAAATGTTCCTGTAAACCCATGTTTTCTCCATCCTTTCCCACAGGGTTTCTGTTGTCAAAGTGCTCTTTCAAAATGCAATTATTTTAATGACCTCAAATCTCTATTTGGTGTGGTGGACTTGTGAAGGATTTCATATTTCTAAATTCAAAACTCTTCAAATTACCCTGCACATTTTATGAACCATTACTAAATTTTATCCCCACCTGGATTACTTGCAGAACTGTACCTACATACACAAGCAGGCTTTTACTTAATAGACATCTAGTGTCACCAGAACCACTGGCTCCTTGTAAGAGCTACCTGGAAATGGTTCTGCTCCCAGACATCTTTTCTTCCAGGTCCAAGAACTAGACAATGGCACTTGAACTTTCCCTACATACCCTTATCACCAACAGTGGTAATGCATAGTTCATGGAGCAGAATTTAAAGAAAATAAATTTAGAAATCATTAGCAAAATTTCAAAACCATGGCTCTCCAGCCAGGAACAGTTACTTTGGCTCCTCAAGCTCCTTCTCCCCTACCATGACTTTTCTCCTGGCAGCTGATTCAAACTACCATTGAGCCTGTGAAGCAAGACTCTTGGCAGAGACCCAAGAGTATAGTCTGAATCCTACCTGAAGGGATCCACCCAGTAACAACTCCAGCATGCACAGCTATACTGCTGTAATAAGGATGTCCAGTCTTGGAAGACACCAGCTCAGAGATGAGATATAGCCAAAACTGAGTTCAAGAAAGAAAGACACCAATATGGTGCTGCACGGGGTTTTAGAGTACAGGCCATAAGGTCTCTTCTTCTGCTGACACACACCAAAAACCACTGCATTTGGTTCACTCTCAGTATCCCTGTGCTCCACAATAATGTTAAGTTCATATCCAGAAGGCTCTCATAATGACATATTCTTCCGTCTCCAGTTGAGCAACTCCATCTCATCCAGGCAGGAAATGATAAAATTTATGAGCAACTTGATTGCTTTGCAGCTTAAATAAAGCAGTGGCAAGAAGCCACTGCCCTTCAATAAATTCTGCAAATTTATTAGCCACGCACTTTATCATACAAACCTAAAACCTGTTCTCCTCTCTGTATGGCCGTTTCTCAGAGAACAGAGAAGCAAGCAACCAAAGGATTCTCAGTAGCTGGGAGCAAAAACTAAAGAGAAGACTTAGAGCTCTAGGGCAAAAAAGAAAGGATCACACTTCATCTCTTCAGATACACCAGACCTTTACCACCCAAAAAGGCAAAGATAAGCAGGGGAAACTTCACAGAGACCTGATTAACATTGTGAATCAAATAATCCCTTGTCCAAAAATCAGTAAATGCTTGATCTCCTTGCTCTCTAAAAGTAAGATACAGATCTTTAACTCATCTTCAGAAAAAGGAACTTTAAATAGCAGTCATATTAAAATAAAAAGTCTTCTCTTAAACCCATTGCATTTCACTTACAATTTCTCCTTGAGAAAACAAAAAGGAAAAAAGTAATCATATATAACAGATGAGTGGTCATGTCAGCAGTGAACTCCTCCAAAGGTCCCAGCCCAACTGCTGGGAGAGCTCATGTGAAATCAAACAGATCTGAATGGAAGGATGACAGGAATGGTGGAGCAGCAAACCTACAGTTTGCTCTCTCTCCAAGTTCTCTTATGTCATCTTCACACAAATCTATACAGCTTTAAGTTCAAGTACATGGGTGAAATGCTGGAAATCTGTCAAATCCTTCAGAGAACTTCCCCTGGTTTACAGTGCTACCTTTTTTCTTTTCAGTTTCCATTAGTATTGAATCCCTAACAAGGCAAATCAGGAAGTATCTGATGATCTCATGATCTGTGTGATCCCCCAGACAAATCTCCATCAGCTGCTGAAGTTATTTTTCTTCAATGAACTCTCAGGCTGGACACAAAACCTCCACGACACTTCCAGGGGAGTTGTGCTTGTGATTTCAAACAAATGAACAAACAAACAAAGTTATTAGCAGATAGTCTATTGCTGACTGACTCAAGAAAATCTGACTGCCAACCTTATAAATACTATTGTGTTAAAAGTTCTCTAAATATATCTTAAGGGTGAATTTCTATGAACCTCAACATAGCATAAAAAACGCAAGCAGAGAGCATAGAAAATATTAAAATCTGTGTTTCTGCCTTTGCATATAGAGTAACTGCTTCCTGATCTCACAGAAAAAAAAAAAAAAAAACCCAAACTTTTTAGGAAGCAAAATGAACAGGGGTAGGATGGAAACTAAAAATCAGGAGACAGAAAAAACAATGACCACTGTCTGATCATTATAGAAGACCCAAATTAAACCAAGAGTGTCCATATCAGACCTGGAATATAGAGGCATCTCACTCAGAGCAGCAGCAAGAGATGTCAAAATTTGTAGAGGAAACAAAATTACTTAGGTAACTCCTGAAAAAAAAAATGGACAGGAACTTAAAATGGCCAACCCAAAGCAGAAAAAACAGCAGTGACTTGGTGGACTACACAAATATCATGAATAATAAAAGCAATGAGAGAATATTTACTGACTCCAAAATTGCACCGACACACAAAAAACACTTGTAGATGGTTCTATAAAAGCTTAAACAGCAACAACAAAACTTGGAAAAAAAAAAAGGAGCAAATGCTACAGAGGAATAAAATGAAAATTAGTATGCACAATAGTCTACAAAATCAGCTGTAGCAGAAACTTATACTTGTAGCAGTATGAAACTTATTTCATAGTTGTATATTGTACTTTCTCAGGAGAGAATGAGGAGTTTATAGAGATATGTAAAGAGAAGCCAGGTGCACTGAAAACTTCCTTATCTACAGTGATTGAGAGGAATGAATTTTTACCTGAGAAAAGAGAACATAAAAGAACATGAAAGACATATTTAAAACATTGACCGATTAAAGGAGATTAGGTGTTTGCATTTTCCTTGTCTCATGCAGAACACATAAAATTATGCCACAAGACAAGTGTGTCAGAAAAAAAACCAAACCACTTTCAGGCAACAATCCCCTACTGATTCCTCAATCATCTTAAAATTTTAAAGTGGGGAAAAAAAATCTCAATTCACGAAACTAGGGAGAGAGCCACTATGATGGTATTCTGATGCTACTACTTGTCTTTCACCTAAAAATGGAGAACCTGGAAGCAGATCATTTCGTTTGGAAACTGCAACTACACACATATCTGATAAACTGAATGTCTCACACCAGCTCACTGCAAAAGAGTGACGGTCCCTGGATGACAGTCTCTGGTTTGGGTGAGACAAAAGTACTGTCTGTGGTGTCAGGACTTGGAGAAGAAGCTTTGCTCATGACATGGGTCACATCCCTCTTTCAGTCAGGAGACCCTGGTTCAAACTTTGGGATGAAAATCATCTCAGTCTTAAAAGTATGTTTATGGCCACAACTGTCTATCTCAGGCTTACACAATTGAGAGAAATAAGCATTTTTAGGAGAGAATAAGCATTTTTAGAGCATTATTTATCTATATTCTTTCAAACATCCACTTCTGTATGAGAAGAATTGTGCCCTGAACACCATTGCCTACACCAATTTAATGTCTCAACTATGAAGGGAGCCGAGAGTGACTAGCTCTCATTTATATATGTATATTTATATATGTATAAATGAATAAAATGGCTATGTCTTTACTTTTCCAAATAAATCCCACTCCCAAAGTCCAGCATGGCCTCAGAGCTGCATAGATTTTCAGTAATTCATTCTTTAATGACATCTACTAGTCTGTTGAGTGTACGGTTTCTCTTTCCTTCAGGCCATGGAGTTTGCTATATCTCTCAAACAGCCCTGATTGCCTAAGTACCTCCTAAAAGTTTTCTGGAATTCTGACCATGTGGGTCTTCCATGAAGTCAGTACGAGGATTCTTGCTAATGCTGCTCTGCAGACAAGGAATTCTGAGACTCTCATGACAGATGCAATCCAAGAATGCAGGATTGGCTGAAGAAGAGACTACACCAGCAGTGCCCAACTAGCAGAAAACTGCCAAGGCAGGATCTAAACTGGAAAAGTTGGCAGCTGAAGGGGGCTGTGACAGTAGTCAAAGGACCTGACAGGTGGGGAAGGGCATTTTTCCCTTCAACAGCTGCACAAACCCCAGGTCTCCTCACTTCTTGAGCCATCCCACAGCTGTCACCTGGTTCAAGACTGCAACTGTCCTCAGGAGATCCAAGTAGGATCAACAAGCCAAACATATTTTATGCACTGTCCTCATGAAAAAAATTCCTTAAACCACTTCTCCCTAAAATTTCCCCAGAATAGTCTTCAGACAGAAAAAACCCCAGCCTGAGAAACACTAGACCATAAACCTGTGGTTCCCTATGACTGATTCTAGCTACAGCTCAATCACTGTAACAAACACTGTAACTGCAAGTAGAGCTGATTACTCTGAGAAATCCTGCATATTCCCTATATAAATTCACATACCTCAGACAAATTCATATTTCTCCTCAGATTACAATCCCAGTTTGAGAATCACTGTTTTAAGGCAAATATTTCAAAATTACAAGAGCTTTGATAAGAGATGGAAATGTAGAAATAACTTCTATTGCTGTTACCAATTCCACAACTACAATAAAATGGAAATATTTAACACTAAGAAAAACCCAAGTTTATCTAGGTTTAGTCCTATTTTGACAGGTCTGATAGGACTACCTATACATGAATTTGAAAAAACATCTGTTTGATCATTCTCTAGATGTTAACTGAGTAAGTGATACTGAAAATGTGTTTGCTGAGCCCTAGATGGAAACAGAATTTTCTGTCTACAATTTCTCTGGAGTGTTGTGCCTCCTATACTCTTCCCTATCCCTATCCCAGTCACCGAATATCTCCATTGCACAGCTTACAGCTAATGCACCTGTTAATTCCCTCATTAAAGAGTTTGCCACAGAATAAATAACTTCCTGCTGATGTATGAATTCAAGTCAAAGTCTTCAATCACCTTTAAATATGGCCAGTTTCCTAGGTAATTTAGAAGAATGGCCTTCTACACATATCAAGAAGGTAAGAGAAATTATTTCTTCTGAGAGTACAAACTACTATGTACAACACTTTTTAAGAATGAATTCATTAATTCAGTTTCCTATCTATTTAGGTATTAATGGAACTTAATTGTTTCTTTTTTGTTTGTTTGTTTCACATATATGAACTGGAAAAACACCAAGAGGTAAAAGCCTTCCACATTTTATCAGATACCTGTACAGTGACAAAGACAATAGAATATTCATCTTTGTTGAGCTGACTCCCTTCACCATGGTACAGACAAGAATGATAGCTTTACGTCACAGCAGACATACAGCTACAAAGCCCTTCATTCTGTGGGATTAGAGAAATAGAGTATGATCTACCCAATACAGTCATAAGTACTTAAATGAGACATGAAAAGAAATTCTTCACAATGAGGAACTGTAACAGACTGCAGACTGCCTGACGAGGCTGTGAAACCTCCATCCTTACAGATTTTCAAAATTCAACAAGGCCTTGACAACCCTGTTTTAAGCAGAAGTTTGAAGTAGATAACTTCCAGTTTCCTCCTGTCTACATTCTTCCATGATTCCAATGAATAGACTCAGAAAAGTTATGGAAATTGACCATTTCAGTGGGATATTAGGAAGTGCTGGACTTGATCTAATAGAAACTGCAGAAAATGTCGTCTATTCTTTTCTTACATAAATAAACATTTCTGTAAGTAATTCTTCCCATTATATGTTCTGTTATTCCACAAGTTCCACTTTTGAATTTGAATTGGAAATGTAATACGTAACTTCAGAACACCTGTCTCTTATTTTCTCATTTTTTATCATCTTAATACAATTAAGTTCCCAAACCAGTGTTTATCTATCCTTTATTTGGCCCTAGGCTATTATTCCCCTTATTAAAGACTTTCAGAAGCTAGAGCTGGTAATAGCCACAGAATTTTCTCTACCACTTTTCTGTGCATGTTGATTCCCAGCTGTTTGCTCTTAGAAGCTTTGTCTGGCCCATTCCAAAGCATTTCTGCTAATGGGACTTTTACTGGAAAGATATTTCCACCACTTACAACAAGAATTATTTTCCTCCCCTGACACAATCTACAAATTTTTCACAACGTACCTTCATTGGCCTCTTCAGTGCTTCCTGAATATCCACGCGCTTCCGCATAATGGTCTGGTCTAGTTTGCGCTCAAAGGCCAAGAGATCCATGTAGGCCTGGGACTCAGGAACCAGCTCCCGGATCTGAGAAGGAAGCAAGGAATATCCAAGCACTGGAAGCATGTACCTGCCATGTTCCAGAACAGCAATACTGACATTCCCAGCCCTTGGACAGATGTGCCCAGAGAAGTTCTCCCTCCAACAGCAGTTCCCAGGCAGCGGGGCAGACCCCAGTGCCACGGAACAAGCACAGACTGACCCGTGGGAGCAGAACTGAGCCTAATGCATTCTGCAAGACCCCGCCTGAATCCGCAAGGCCTGAACCATGGCTGTTTTCTTCGAGTGAGGCTTAGCTACCAGCAGCCAGGGAGCCACTACTCTCGGCAATCCAAAGTTCAGTGAATTTGTCCTGTTCAAAACTAGAAAAGTGCTGCATCTCTCCAGACTAAAAGAGAGGGGGTGTTCATGTTGACATTTCAAAAACAAGTGTTACCTATTGTAAGTAAAAACTTCCACTTAGGATGCCAGCCTTTGTCATCACATCTTCCTGGCTGAGGTGAAAGTGACCTTCATGTCAAAGTTTCAACGTGATCAGCTATCAGGCGCCAACTTCTCATCCTGCCAACTTTTATTGGTATTTTAATACATTAGTTAACTACATTAGCTCTATTGACAAACCCCCTTTTTATTTTCTCTTTTACGAGGAACTTAGCAGAGGAGGGAATATGAAGTAGGTTGGAAGAAAGACCTAATGAACTGAGCTTAGAAATGGGTAAGTATACCCATAAATTAAAATGTTGGTTCTTAATCTGGAATAACTCATGCCAGTAAAACCATTAAAAAAAGGTACTGTAAGTAATTAAAAAAGATCTGCTGGACAACCTTTTCTATTTCTACAATATTCACTCTAGTTTTCACTTATTAACTAAAATATTTAACTGTTATAATGTTTCCATAGGGATTAAAAGTGAGTTGATATTCCTGTTTTGCTTTGGAATCAGAATTAGTTGCAGTTAAAATGACAATTTATATCTGGCGTAAGGCACAAAGACCTGTGTGAGACACCATGCATGCACCTGTGTTCTGCAAGGACATGAGAACTACTGCACGAGGTCATGCCAGCAGTATCCGCAAGTCATGCCTTTCAGTATCTGCAATAGCCCAAGGCAGAGCATTCCAGAACATCAACAGGCAATGTGGGAGGAAGAACCTCCTTCTGCTCATTTGGAACCTGCCACAATTGAGTTTCATTTGATGCCATTTCCCTGCACTGCAGCAGTGGGCAGGCATTCCCTAGGCACCTTTGACACATATTTCACAGGTTTTTGTCATCCCTTTCTTAATAATTTTCTCTTCCAGCCTGACTATGAACAATTAGACTGATTATCAAATAAATGTCTCTTTCAACCTACTCTGTTTTGAGATGGTAGAATACCTGCTCTACTTACAGCAAGACTGATACTCTGGAAAAGCAGAAACCACAGAGCAAAAACTCTGTTCAGCTTTAGCTGAACCATTATATTTTTAACTGCTTATATGCTTTCTCAAAATGTTAGTATCAGCAGAATAATAAAAGAAACACAAGCACGAAGAGCAAGCATTATCCTGGATACATCAAGAATTGACAACTTGCAGAGTAAGGGGCAGCAAGGCAGTGAGCGCAAATCTTTGGACACAACAAAACACCCCAATGTTTTTTACTGTTCTGCACATATTAAAAGATTCCTCAATGCCTTGCCTGAAGAAATTAATCACGGTGTGCTGCAGTCAATTAAAAATTCTGGACTGAGAAAGTAGTTTCTTTAATGCCAAGTTCCATCAGAGTCAGTTCATAAAGCCCCAGGGCACATGGTGAAGTAGGGAGAGGCCTACAGAGTCCTTAAGATACAGCCTATACAACACAGGTGATACAACCTTTCCAGCTGGTACTAGACTGGGGATCTAACAAAATTTCTAGGAAGTTTGTAAAAACAGCAGAAACCTTCAATAAACATTGTTATTCCGCACTTTTACATCTTTTATCACCTGCAAGTGTTCATTCCTATAACCAAACTGGATGTTAAATATTATAAGATGCTAAAAAGCACAAACACTTTAAAATCATCCAAAGACAAAACTGCATCTAATTCCTTGAACTATGAATGGCTGCAGGCTGGAAGAGCATTTGATAGAAGAATTGTACTTGCTGTGTTTGTCTTCTCTATGGTCACAGCAAAGATGGGATTTTGGGCTAGATCAAAGGCTCACTCAGGCCAGTTTTGGCAGCTCTCACAGTCTTTTGCTTTCTCACCCTACTAATGGAATAATCTTTTGCAGGCATGATAGTCCTTATATGATAAGGATCTGTGCAGCCTGCCTTATTCCTTGCATGGTTTGCCCTAACTGAAAAACTCATAGTCCCATGTAGGTCTACACTCTTCTACTAAAGTTCTAACTATAAATACGAAAAGAGTATTTCAATACTTAAATACTGCATTCTGGCCTTTATATAGTTGAAGAAACTCTAGAAAGCACCTAGCAGAAGCAGCATCCTGTCAGCCAAGGTTTTGAAGCATATATAGTTATACTTAGAATTCCATGAATGAATGAAAGAGATTACTATTAACATTAGTGAGACAGTGTCTTTCTTGAGGCTGGAGTTGTTTATCTATCTATTATGAAAATTCAAATGTTTCAAACTTTTAAAGATTAGTAAAAAGTAATTATTACTAAATTGTGCATTTTTATTCTAGATTTCCACAAGTGTTTTTTTATCAATGGTGACCAAAAAATGGCCAACTTGTGAGTGGGGGCAGCGAGGACAGTGTGTAAGGAACGGCATGATGGGAGAGTCTCACAGTTTCCTTGTAGAAGCAGCACAGTGTGGGGGCCGCACCACACCTGCCTGTAAACAGATGTGCATGGCATGCGAGACAGAATCAGAAACCAAGGAACAGTTGCAACACTACAAATTTTGGAATATGAGCAACATCTTTAGATAGCTTCTATGGCTGTCACAGTACGACAGCTTGGAGGGCAATGTCAGCAGTCAGCAGGCTGGGGAAAGCAATGAGGAAGCCTTCTGCAAGATGAGCAGCAGAAGGAAAGCTAAGGGAAAACTCAGGTCTGGGTCTGGCTCTGCCACTCGTGTCAAAAGCCACAGAGAAGGCTCCACGTTGTCTTTGGCTCCATTGCTCCTGGCTGAGTCCTGTCCTCAGGCCTCCCAGGGTCCTGAGCCCAAGTCAGTGAGGGCAGCAGGGCTGGACAGAGGGACCCTGATGGGCTGCAGAAACACAATGGCACCTCAGCACAGTAAAGTTCAGCACGGGAAAAGCTCTGCTCCTGGCATAGAATGACATCGTGCAGGGGGACAGGTTGGCAGGAGAGGACTCGGGGGCCCTGATGGACAGACAACAAGTGCAGGAGGAGTCTGTGGGGTAGGGCAGCCACGGCAAAGGTCAGCTGCAAAAGGGGCTGTATTAGCGCAGGTGCTGCCACAAGCCAGCAAAGAGGCTCCTCCTTGCTACGCCACGCTGGTGAAACTGGATCTGGACTGGTGGGCACAGGACCACAAAGATGTGACACTCTGGAGCGAGGCCCACAGAGGCACAGTAGGATGCTGGGGGCTGCAGCAGAGACCTGCCAAGAGAAGCTGCTAGAGCTTCTCCAGCCTGGAGAACAAAAGGGAAAAGGAGATTCCCTGGGAGCATGTGACAAACGGACTGCTGAAGCACAGACAGGGCCAGCCTCCCCTTGGAGCTGCGTGACATTAGGGTGAGTGAGAGGCAACAGAAACTCACTGCAGCATGGGCAATTCACTCCCTATAAGGAATTGGTTTGTAAAAATACCTCTGACAAAACAAACAAAACACATGAAACAGTATGGACATGGTCCTGAGCAAGCTGATGTAATTCAAACCTGTTTTGTACAACACCTGGCCTGTAAAATTTTCACAGGTCCTATTGTTGTGCATCTCCAAGGTCCAAATAAAAAATCTAATACATAAAATTTGATCTATTTCAGGCAGGAACAACTGGAGCTGCATTCTTGACTGCCTAACCAGGACAAACAAAACAGTTTCAGCAATCTTGATAAAAAAAAAAAATAAAAAAAAAAAAAAATCACTAATCAATAGAGATTTGTCAGCTTCTTTAGAATTAGGCTACCCTAGAATTTCCATCTTTGAGAGAGGTAACAAAATCCAAGACCTTACTCCCCCAAGCCTGACAAGCTCAATTTGATCCTTAGCCATTTTTTTACTACCCATGGCAGATGGACATCACCCACACAATTCACAGGTATTGCTGAGAACTAGAATTTTTATATCTTAAGTGGCAGTAAGTCTGACTTGGCAGCTACTGGACAGTTTCCCTGCTATGAAACTTTACTCAATAGCTTACTGACGAAAGTGTCTCTACTGCTGAGGCTTCTACGGTGGTCAAAGAAAGATAGCTAATGGCTGACACTCCTTATAAATCCTAACTGTGCCACCCTGCAACCCCAAAGAGACAATGGCTTGAGGAGGATTTCTGACTACCACAAGGCCAGTAACACAGTCCAGTAAAATGGCAAAAGCAATCCATATTCTTGGTCCTTCTCTTAGGAGCTGGCAAGCCACTGCTGTCTCAGAGTCTTCCTTCAGGCTGAGCAAGGCTGGCTTTCTTAGTCTTTCCTCATGTGCTGATCCAGTCATTCAGTCAACCTGACAATCATCCACTGACCTCAGTCCAGTTTGACAATGTTTTTCTTGAATTCAGAATCCCAAAACTGGACACAGAGCTCTAGCACTGAGCTAACGAGTACTGAGCAAAGAAAGGTAATCGAGTCACTCAATCTGTTGGCTGTGCTCCTGGCCACAGAGTTGTGGATGCTGTTAGTCATCTTTGCTGACAAGGCATACCCCCTGCTCACACTCAGCTCACTGTCCACCAGTGCTGCTTCCCAGCCAGGCAGTCTTTCTCTTCCCCAAGGAAGAACATTTTACTTAGTTGACTTTCATAAAGTTTGTGTTGGTTCATTCCTCCAGCGTGTCCACAAGCATATCAACTGGTTTCCCCACCCAGTGATTGGTCTCATCTGTGTATTTTATAAGCAAGCACTGCACTGCCTCCTCCAGTGGCAGATATGCTGGACTAAACAGCTGCTATGACACATCCCTGCAGTACTCTGATGTCAGGCTCTTCATAGCAATCATTCTCAGCTTCACCATCCAACCAAGTGTGGCTGTCAGCCCATTTAGACCAAAATGTCCCCATCTGAATACAAGATGTATGACAGAGTGGCCTTGAAAGGACATTGGCCAGTCCCCTCAGCTCCCTCAGATGCAGCCTGTTGGGTATCATGGAGTCATATGAGTCAAGTTTCTCAACTAAATCCTGACCCTATCCCCATCCACCATCGTCTGTTCCTCTTGGATGTGTTCACTGATCACAGGCCATGGGAAGCGTCATTAGTGCAGACTGAACAAAGAAGGCTTTGAGTGCTTCAGACTTAATGTCTCTGTCATCACTGGGTCACCCAGCCCACTCAGCATGGGGCACACATTTTCCTTGGTCAGTCATTATTACTAGCACAATAGTAGAAGCTTTTCTTGTCCTTGACGACCCTTGAAGATCTCAACTACAGATGAGCTTTGACTTTGTTGATACCATTCCTTGTGTGCCCAGGCAATGTTTCTAAACTCCTCCTTTGCAGCCTCTCCCTTCTGTAGCTTCACTTCTTGTACATTGCCCTTTGATGTTGGGACCACCACTGTGAGTACCCTATTCTGGACTCCTCATAAATCTCCTCATTTTCCTGCATTTAAAACAGGCTGCTCTTAAAGGTCCTTAAAGACCACCCAGCTTCCCTGAGCCACTTTGCCCTTCAGAGGTCCTTCTCAAGGAACCACCCCCTACCAGTTCTCTGGATAAGCCAAATTCTGCTTGTCTGAAGTCCAGGGCTTGTACTTGACTGCTCTCCTTCCTCATTCCCTGCAAGATCTTGAATTTCTGTATTTCACAGTTGTTACATCCAAGGCTACTGCTGATTATCACACTTCTAACCTCTTCCTTCTTACAAGTGAATGGGAGATTCAGGTGTTCCTCACCTCTGGTTGGCTCAGATGGAGAAAGAGGTAGACAACAGCCATGCAGTGACCAAACCACAGTAGGACAGCTATTATGGCATGGGATCTGTGCAGAGAATTCCACATGGTGGTCAGTGAACAGCAGCAGCAAAAATTGGCTAAATATCTGTGTAAAGGAAAATGAAGTAGAGAAGATGAAAAGGGGAGGGACAGGTGTACAAAAACCTGTCAGCACAGCTGGACAAAAAGTCCTCAGGAATTTGGGTCTGAGTGAGAACAGCAGCTAATACTAAGAGATAAGCATGCCACTGAAGGAGGGCAGTTTGCCGTTTCAAAGTTGCACTCTGCTCAGCAAATTAAGCAAGAAAAAGCAGAGACAGGCACAGCTTTGGAGCCAGAATGGTTTTCAGCTGAGATTCTTGAATCAGAATGGCTAGGCAAGGAAGCCAAAGAAAGAGAATGGTGGATCACATTCACAGCTCCCTGGGAAAAAATGTTATGACTCAATACTGAAAGAAAATAAGACTGACCAGAAATAATGAGGAGCCAAGGCCTGGAGAGAGAGGAACAATCTGAGGTGCTGTCCCCATAGACAGTTTGTGGTCTGAGGTTGAAATTGAGGCACAACTGCTAAACTTGGGTCACAAGGGCAAATTCAGTTCCAGAGATTTAGATCCCTGGCTATGAATGAAGATGCCCGTGAACTTCTCCAAAACTGAATGAGGGTTTCAGCAACAGTCAAGTGTGAACAAGGGAAAGATCCATAAGTGAGGAAAATAGGGCAGGATAGAGCCTACTGGACAGAACTGGAGTTAATGTAAAATACACTATAAAAAATACTAAGCCTTGTTATGCCAGAGTATGTCAATGTGAGTGTAACCAAGTCCTCCTGTTTATTAAAACTGCATTTTAGACAAAAGATATGCAGTCAATACAATCAATGTGCATTGACATACAGTAATAAAGGGAACTGCTCCTTAAGACTGAAAAATAGGAGTTGGAACAAGACCTGGCATAGGAAAAAAGTGTTCTTGTACAAAAAGGACAACTATGCTAAGAAAACTAAGTAATGATAAATTTGGGTGTCACTGTCGTTGCAAGGCAGAGGATAGAAGAGAGAACGTAAGGAAGCTCAGAACTGTATAATGGCGATGGGGTGCAATACAGCATTACAGTGCACAGGATCATACCTCAGAGTCTAAATCCTGCTCTAACATGGGAATTCATTAGTTGCATATGACAGAAAGCAGAAATACTAGAAATACTAGTGGTCACAGAATGACCAGAGGCTATATCAATGTGGAAAAGCCATTTAAAAAAACAAAACAAAACAAAAAAGCACAGGAATCCCAATTCACAGTGCTATTTCCAATAGAGCTAAAAATGCAGGAGCAGTATTAGAGCACTGGTGATACTGGCAATCTGTAATACTATGTATAGTTCTGGTTTCTTGAAAGGCAGATTTAAAAAGGTTTGAAAGACATTAATTTAACCTGGAACAGATAAAACAAATGACTAAGAGGATTTCAAGACGGGAGCCTCTCTAACTTGGCAAACTAAAAGCACTTCCCTTGCTGAGCCTAGCAAAATAAAAAAAAACCCAAGCTGCCAGATCAAAAGTATGTCTCAAGTAAGGAACCTAGTCTTGAAGTGGCAGCTGTGTCATGGTTTCCATGACAGAGGGAACCAGATTTGAAGTGCCAGGATGTCCCATGGAGTTCTTCAATCCAATCTTCCTACGTGCAATACTGCCGAGTTGAACTTTTCATACAATTATATTCCTGCAAAATAAATCCTTCTCAAACAGTTGACTTGGAGCGGCTCAGTGATCCTACCCAGCCAGCACTATGATCCAGGACTATGGCACAGGCTTGACCAGAGAGCCTGGAAATCCAACGAGAGGTTACCTGTGCCAACTGCCTGAATCATTATCATAGTGAGGAATACTAACAACCCACCTCCTTTCCCACTACTACATAAGATCATTTTCAAGAGTCAACTGTATTTTGTATCTTCCATTCTCCAAACTTCAAAACATAGGCAAGCGTCTGCAAAAAGTCTGTGGGTAACAGATGCTGACTGGCTGGAAAACACTCCAAAGGTAGTTCCAGAAAGCTGGAAGTTTTACCCTGTGTTTCACACACATTCCACAGCCACCAGTGCAAATCCCCCACTTGACAGAATAATGATGTGTACAGCATTTCTTCATCCCACAGATGGTGTAAGGGATTTCTGACACACTAACTGTAGCCTAACAGAGTGCTTTAACTGAGACAGAGGTCACATCACTGATACCAGCACTGCAGCTGCACTGATAAAAACCCCACTGCAGAAGAGACCTCTAAAAAATGCCTTATTACTCCATCAGTTAAAGCAATTGGCTGGCAGCAACAAAGATCCTGAAAAGCAAGCATATTTGGTGACAGCATGGTTCTGAAAGCATCCGTAGAGATTTTTGACACACCTATATAAGGCTCTACCTATTAAAGAATTATCATGGACTTTGTAAACAAAGTCAGTGGTCTTCTGCTGGCAAAAATGTTTGATTACCTCTTACACCTTTTAATCTTATAAAGGCAACAAGCAAAATAAAAACCAAAAATAAAAACACTCCCACAACCAACCAACCAACCCAAAACCAAAACCAAAATCATCTTGAAATGGACATATATTTCCAGCAACAACCTCACTATACAGGATGTATCACTGTCTGTGAAAACAGTTTGTGTGGGACAGATAAAACTGACAGTACAAAGAAACTTAGCATTCATTATAAAAAAAGTACAGACCACCAGCAGAGCAGGAATGAGGCTTCAGCACAATTACCAGGGAGGCTGCAAGTAGTTCAAAGGTCTGGGTTTAATAGTAGCTTTCAAGACAGCAACATGAGAGATCTAATGGCTTACATATGAGAGGCTCTGCTTTCAGAAAGTGGCAGGAATAACAAGAGAAGAAGTAATAGTGTAACATCAGGAATACCAAGGTGGGCTCACCTCTTTGGATAACTGGTAGTAGGCACCTGTGAAATGCCACAGAAATTACTTTGGAGCCTGCCAGCAAGTTTGGGCTCCTAATCGCGATGGAGCTTGCAAACTTGCTTGAAAAAAAAGCCGACTTGCTGGAGCTTGAAAAGCATATGGAGGAAAAGGATACACCTGTCCAGGGGATTCTGAGCCCAGAAAAACTACCAGCAGTCAAAGCAATGGAGACTAGGATGTGACAAGGGTGTGTGTTTTGAAGCCTTTAGGGACCAAGCAGGTTCTTGGGAACTGTACTGAAGAGGGTAAAGGAAAGGAAAAGTATGGGAATAATGAGAGAGGACAGCAGAGAGAAATCCCAATGTTTAGAAAGGAAGCAGAAGACATAAGCATTGAGGATCAAATATAGGCAGACACCCAAAGCTAGACATATCCCCCAGGGATACGAAAATTAGTAACTCTCCAGACAATACAGACCCCTCGGATTCTGTTGTTTACATGGGTGCACTTCAGCCCTATGGTGACACCACCACAAAAACCACTACCAGGCAGCTCTACTGGGCCAGAGACCTGAGTCTGAGCCCACCCCCTCAGGTACAGCCATACTCTGGACCAGGTTTTGGCTAGCCTCGAAAAAGGATCAGAAGGATTCTGGAGACCCGAGGGCCCCAGAGCCGAGCTGCCGCCTGGCACCACGGTCCCTCCAGCAAGCGGCAGTGCTGGCTCGGCTAACCCAGGCACGCGGCCGCACAGGCCGGGCTGCTCCACGCTCCCAGCCCCCAGCCCAGCCCCAGCCTGGCTCTCCAGACTTTCACCCACTGCCTACTTACTTTTTAATTAGATTTTTAAACAAAAAGTGAAAGAATTTTCTAAAATTCCTGTAATTATACTAAGATGCTGAACTGATTGTGAAGGGAATAGGAAATGAAAGCGACTCACCCTCTGAGGGAGAATTTTGTCAGCCATCTTCCTCCTCTTGGCACTGTACATTTTTTAAAGAAAAAAACACGTTACCATGGTGACAGATCTAGGAGTAACGAGGCCACCTGCTAAATTATCCTGACATCTCCACATGCTGGTGCACAGCTGTGCATGCATCAGCAAAAGGGTCTCACCCATGCCCAGGACCTTGTACCCCTTCTCTCAGCAGCCTGGGGAGGCAGTTAGGTAAGAACGAATCAGGGCTGTCTGTTACGCATCCTGGAAAGAAGTCTGTAAGTTCTTTGATCATAGCATCTTCCATGGTGCAGGGGGGCAATACACGTGTAAAGTGCATGCACTGCTGCTAGATACAGACGAGTGTGCAGAGGACAGTCTCACGTGTGGCGTGCACAGACACATTCCTATGTGTGTGCACATCTGAGTGGCAGAGTCCTTGCAAATGGCACGTCAACTTGTTCAAACAGACAACACAATTCAATCATGCCCAACATTAAGTGCTGAAGAACACACATATATATGTGCGTGTATTTCATATGATGTATGAAAACACACACAAATGCACACCCTTCCTTGTGTACATACACACTTGTTTTACTGTAACACATTTGCATGAGTGATGGACAAATGTAAAAGACCTTACATTTCCACATTTGTTCATCTTTATGAACACACATGGGAAGACGTATGTGTGTCTGCAGTGTGTATACACGCTGTGTCCATAGCCATACATAGGCACATGTCTATAGCTATGCTTTTAAAAAGCATACACACTTGTACTTATGTACATAAGAATACAAATGTGTATGTGCCTGAGAAATGGTACTGTCAGGAAGACTGTTTTCAGATTCTAAGAACTCTTCAGGCCTACCAAACCTGTCACCCAGCTTTCTCTAACAGGGCCAAGAGGGAATTCAGGTCCTATTCTTCATCTCTTTAATCTGTGAGGCCTTTATCTTAAGCAAGAGATGAATCACTCCATCTGTGACAGACAAATGGGAGAAAGCAAACCACCTGCTGCCACTCTGCCATGCCACAAGGACACCCCTCCTTACTATCTTCTCACTGGAAGACTGTCATCAGCCATGTCCACATAAAAGCTGTTTCCATGCATATTGGTGTGGCATATTCTCTTCCTACATTTGTTAATTATAAGCCAGGGTTGAAATACCAGATTCTTAAAACTCTTCCTCATCCCCACGTAAGCTAAGGCTGAGGAACTCTTTGTGCTCGGAGGTGCAGAGGGCAGAAAATTCAGTTACACCCAACTTAATAGGTGAACAATGTCCCTTTTAAAAAGTGTAGGAATAATGGGAATGGACTGTTACGTGGTGTGAAACTCCAACACCTTCCACAACTCACAAAATCAAATCTACATTGAAACACTTCACAGAATCTGGAGGTAAAGGCTGAGCAAGCTCCAGCCTCCCAAAGGGACTGGGATATGCATTACCTGGAACAAACCCACAGGCTCGCAAATAAAAAGCAAGAAAAAAACAAAGCAACATCCCCAAACAATGTGGATCTCAACCAGTTCTTCAATAGTCTGTTACAAAAATGAGACTTTTGTCTCCACCAAAACTGCTGAGAAAGGAAAAGTGCAACTTTCTTGGCCCGTGCTAGAAAACATGGAACTCATTTATCCCCCAGAACTGGATCCAAGATGCCAGAAAAGTGTGCTTGAAAAAACAGAATGAGAAATCACAGGGAGGTGGAAACGAAAAAAGGGAAAACATTCAATACATTACCTCAAGGGAAGGCATGGCAGAAGAAACAGAGAAACTCTCTGAGTACCCAGGGAGCACTGGTGTGAACTGGGCTCAAGGCCATAGAGATCACTGCTGGGTCCCAAAAACTAAGAACAGGGGAGGAGAACTTTTTCCTGTGAGTCAGGCCACCAACTTTTAGCAAACAGTGTCCTTTAATGCTCCCTGGAAACTAGTTAGTGACTAAAGTTTATGTTAATTATCCAGGAGGGGCAATTTTTCAGGTTATATCCATCCTAGTACCTGAAGGCTGGGCATTTTGTGCAGTTTCCTGGAGAACCTTCTGGGAGGTGTTACAGAATGTGCATTTTGGCTGGTAGTGGGCAAGGCCTCCAAGATGCACATGCACTGCATGTGCTCACATGCTGCACTCATAGATATTCCTTCTGTGTTCAACCTTTTTCAATTGTACTCTCAAGATCAGTGTCCTTTCCAGAAGCATCCCAGACATAAGCATTCCCAAATCTGGCTTGCTGATCCAAGGTATATATTATATATTATATATTATATATATATATATATATATATTATATTATATATTATAACTTGGACAGAGTAGGGCTCCTGAAGAACGGAGCTTAGAGAGGTACGTTTTTCCTACAGATGGATTCCCTGACACCACCAGAACACTGCCTGAAAGCTGCATATACATCTATACTGATTCTGTAAAAGGTAGCCCACACAGATGACTGCACCCTATGTGTGTGTGGATCAGACTCAACACTCAAGACTGATAAGGTCTAATACACTGCAAAAAGAAATTAGTTCACTTTTTTTAAGAGAGAATGCGTTGTACAAGTTAGGCATATTTCAGAAAGAAATGTGAAATCGCTGTATGAGATATAGAAGTCTCTCTAATTTTATGAAATTACTTCCAGTGCATATTTATTTACATTATACGTAAAAACACTTGGGACAACTCCAAGTTTTATGACTAGTTTTCTGAATGACCATAGTACAAGTATTCACATGACAAACCAAAGTTTCTTCCACTTGTGTCATTGACAAACTTGTTAGCAAGTCAGAAATCAGAGCAGTTATACAGAACAGGCAACAAATAATACATAATTGTACTGTATTAGAAGAGAACTGTTCATTAATTCTAAAGGCTAAACGTACTCAACAGATTTATGGCCTGACAAACCTGTAAAATAAAAGTAGAGTAACTTCAAAACCAGACATCATTAAAGGTCAGTTTGTTCAAGACCATTCACAAATAAAAAAAAATGGAAAATTTACCAATGTTTTTCCTGTTGAAAAAACTGACAATACATAGATCTTCAATTCTGTCTCGTTTGATCTTAAAGGTCTTACCTACTGCTAAACAGTAATCATCTTTCCTTCCTCAAACTGTCCTCCTGTGTTTTCTTTCCAGAACACTCACCTCCTAGCTCGGTTCTGAGTGGCCTGCTGCTGCTGCTGCACCTGCTGCTGCACCTGCTGCTGTTGGACCTGCTGCGGCGCAGTGCGTTTTCTTGTTGTTTCCATCACAGTCTGGGGCATCCCAGGTCGCACAGAGGGGCTCCCGACGTATGGGGGGCCTGGAGGACCCATGGGAGCCCCCTGATGGGGCATTCGAGCTCCCGATGGCATCCCAGGGCGCTGGAGGAAAAGAGAAGCAGAAAGAAAAGCCAGTCTGGTTCCTGTTTCTGCAGCTGCCAAGACATTTGTACATCATGCAATACTGGCCGCAGCAGATTCCCCTTTTGACCATCCTGATAAGCACTAAGCAGCAACACAAACATGTAAGCTCTGTGACTGGTGTATCTTGGATGACATGAAGAGGCATTCAGGGAAAAAGTAGGCAGGAAACAGAGGTGAAATACTAGGCTTGGGAAAACACTCAGTGGTCAGTAGCATATCCAGACCAGGTACAGGTGGAAGCTCTACCTTCAGCCCGAAGACAACACCCCATGGCAGCGACACGCAGTCCAAACCGGTGCAGCTCACGTGCTGCTCAGGGCTGCGAGCACGCTCCCACCGCACGCGCTGCACTGCGAGCGGGCGGCTCTGATCAGCTGGGAGACAGAAACCACCACAGGCAAAACACCAGGATAAACATTTCCCATTAAGAGCCTTCTACTTCGCCTACACCAGAGAGCAGTGTAAGTTCATAATGCAACATGAATCCTTTAAGAAAAAGGTCATGTCTCCAATCAAGCCTTTAAAATAAAAAAAAAAAATTAAAAAATGAAATGGATGTGGTAGTTTGTCAGCAGCCCCTGCAGCCATTGTAAAGCCCTGGTATTTATGTTGACTTCTGCATGCTTTTGAGAGACACTGGATCAAATCACAAGCTTAATGCTACACAAGACACACAGTAAACCAAATTCTGAACTCTTAAAGTTTATAGTCATTGAAGAAAACCACCAGTAAAATAATTACTTCCTGTAAAATGCAATTCAAAACAGAGATGAACTTAGTCTCATACTGAGAATTATCAATATGTATATGTCCACATATATGCAGAAATACAGACACACACAGACTCTCTAGGTGTTTGAACCAGGATGAGAATAAGAAGTCCTTTGAAAAGCTAAGTCCCTCTACAAAGTCTTTTAAGGAAACCAAGAGGCAATGGCATCCATTATTGATACACAATTGGTTAAAGGATAGAAATGAGGCAAAAGTAATTGGTTCTGAAAATAAAAGAAAGGCACATGTAAAATTCTGCTGGGACTTCTCCTTTTCAGTATATTTAAAACAACCTGGAGGAAAAAAAGAACCAAAAAAAGCCAGGAAAAAAGCAAGGAAGTGAATAAGTTTGTTGGTAATGCTGAGTTAATCATGCTGGCAAGGATGAAGGCCAGCTTCAAGACCTGCAGAAGGACTTTATGAGACAGAATGAACACTTAAAAGGAAGCTGCAAATGTAGTCCAATACATATTGAACTGAATTACAAAAGGGAAAAAAACAATCCAAGAATCACAGACAAAGCAATGGGCCCTAAGCTGACTGCTGTCCAGCAGAACAAAGATCTTGTTTAAACTGACACTACCAGAAAAGTATCTGCTTACTGGTTATTAGAGGTCAAAAAAAGTCATAAAGAAAAGAAATAAGAGCGGAGGGAACAGAAGATACCAGTGGTTCCATGGCCATGGTGTGTCCACAAGTAAAAGTCTGTGTGCAGCTCTGGCTCCTGCAGCTCAGTGATGGCAGGGCCGAGCTGAAACAAGGACACAGTAATTCTTAATGTATGGAACTGCATCCATGTAAGTAAACGTAAATATATTGTGACTTTTCATCTGGAAAGAGGTGATACAAGGTGATCTAAAGGGGAAAAGTGCCATCACATATGGCCTGGAGAGGACAGGTGGGTATTGAATTGACTGTTCACTGCCCCCCTCTAGAATAATGAACCCTGGCCATCAGCAGAGGGGTCAGGCTCACAGACCACTGGAGGGGTGAGTCTGTCACATGGTGGGTATCAACCTGTGGAACACTCTTCCAAAGGGGTGGTAACAACATGGAAGACATACTTGGCTCAATAGCTGCAGACCAAAAAAGTATTTTACTGGAGAAATACACTACTGGACCCCAAAGTCAGATGCATGCACCCTGAGGGTATGCAAGCCAGTCCACTAGGGGTGGGAAGAAAATATTTAGTGCACAGTCAACACACACACACACACACACACACACACACACACATACACACATATATATATAATTTAATTTTTATTATTTCTAAATACGTAACTATGTATTATAATAAAACAAAATTCTAAAAATAATTTGGACCTGCATCTCCAAATTAACCACCCAAATCCAATAATCCTTGGGGACTACAGCTCCCCAAGCCCCAGCTCAGTGCCCTCCCTAATCATCACAAATCTAAGAAATCCTCATTCTTGTATCTATAAAGAAAACTGGAGAAAGGAGAGGAATGGATGATCAACAAAGAACCAATATGGGCTGTAAGTGGCACAGACAGAGAAGCAAGGCAAGAGGTAGGAGAGTCACCAGCGCAGGGATCCAAGCAGGTGAATTCAGCAACTGTTGACGTAAGAAAGCAATGGCAGGTATGGCCATGGAGAGAGCAGCAGGCAGACCAACCCTGCAGCTTTGTGCAAAGCTCCAAATGTCTTCTGCCATGAGCCTGGAGCCCCGAGAACAGCTGGAAGGGAACAGTGCTCTCTGTTCCTGTGTGCGTGCGCCCACACCCTCTCACCCAGGCAGGAAGAAATGGCCCAGAAAATGCTTCTCTCTTGAGCCTGTATTTGAGATCTGTCATCTGTCAAACCACACATTGTGGCCTCCTTCCAGCAAAGGGCAGACCACTGGGCCAGCTGCTGCCTGTCAGTCAGCTGGGGACATCTGAGAGTGATTCAGAAGCGCCCGGATCCTGAGCACAGCCATCTCATGGAGACTGACCGGCCACATGGATGAAACTGAAGGCCCACTTTGGTGCTGCTCTAAAGGATAACTTAGGGCTTAACGAACAAAGTCAGCAAGGTACATCTACTGTCAGTCCTGGTGTTGTCTTTGAATTTCCTTCAGTTTCCTTTGTTAAGCACTAAAATAGAGAAACATAGCAAAAGGACAAACATGAGAAAAGAGAGGCAGCTTTAGCAAAAGCACATTAGATCTCATCCCCTGACCACCTCATTTCTTCACCTCTGTTCTCATGACCCTACCTCCGATATCACTCATAGATAAAATATTACTCGCTATGCAACTGTGCAACTGTCTTCCTCCTGCAAGCCCACCAGACTCCCAAAGATACAGAAACGCTTCATCTATTTAAACTTTTATAAAAGAAGAACATACACGCAGTATCTCACCTTATCTAAAAGCTTATTTTGCTCTCAAATGCATGTGTGAGACAAGACAGTGATGGACAATACACCAAATTTTTCACAACAGTGACATTAAAGAAAAAAAAAAGTCTTCATACTGAAGAGTATTCCAGTACTACTATGACTTTTGAAAGAAATCTTGAAGGTGCATCTATCTATAGGTTAGGATCTGTCTCTCCCTGTCTTCCTCAGCAGGATGGAAACTATCTTAAACAAGAAGCATCCATGGGAAATGCTGATGAGCAAAACAGCATTGACACATCCTCCTTCCTGGAAAATCATCTACCTGAGATGGCCATCCCTGACCCATCTCTGTTTGTATCCAGAGTCCCATCTCCTTTTTACCTCCACTGACTCCATTTACATGTATTAATCTGCACAAACACCTCACTGGATGGAAGGCAAAACCACTTGTGGGTCATAGGAAATGAGGAAGACCACAGCCTGTCCCCAGCTGAAGCAACCACTCTCACAGCTCTGAGAATGTGAAGCGGAGAGCAGAGCAGAGGTGATGCACAGCAGCAAGGCAAAGGCAGTACAGTGCACAAAGGAACACGACCAATATTTCATGCACATGTACTGGTCCCCAAGAGTTGTGCTGATTGCCTGTGTACACATGCACATCACTGCTCTGGCTACAGCTGTTCAAACCTGAACACACTGTCAGTGCAGCAGAACACCATCACCCCACCCCCCCGACACCTGCTGCCATAGCCCTTCACTGCCTTCCACTGACCAGTTTCCAAAGCCACGTTTGGCTTGTCTGCTGTTTTCCTTTCCTGAACTTCCCGTCACATCAGAGCTCTGCCTCAGTCCTCTTTGTGATCCTTAAGTGAACTTCTGTCTGACAGTAATAACAAAGACAACGTTAAAGCAGTGCTTTTCTACATTCTTCTGCTGCAGAGTCTTTTCTCAGGGGATGTGCATCACAAAACAGCAGTCAAAACACAGAAGCAGAAAAAAGGAGTCCTGTCTGGACATAGCACTAAGAGGAAAATAACCTGGAGAACTGACAGGTGAAAGTAAAAGGAAGTGTCAAGAAAAGTAAAGCAAAAACACCCACAAGAGGCCTCAGAAACAGACTGAACAGAGAACCAGGAGTTGCTGCATTGCAGTTGAGTGCTGAGCTACACTTACAGCAATCCCCTGTCCTAAGACTCCATCCACCTCAACACCACACGGGAGGCTCTTACGGCTGACTCGCTGGGAACAGCCACCAGCTGCAGAGACACTGACAGATTTTGAGAATAACCACCACCACCAAGTATACAAACAGTTTATTTCTTAACTACAAAGAAGCCTCCAAGAAAGATGGAGAGAGACTGTTTACAAGGGCCTGGAGTGACATAACAAGAGAGAAGGGCTTCACTGACAGATAGTAGGTTTAGATTAGAAGAAAATTCTTTACTTATGAGGGTCATGAAGCCCAGGTTGTGCCTGCCTCATCTCTGTAAGTGTTCAAAGCCAGGCTGGATGGAGCTTGGAGCAATCTGGTCTAGTGGAAGGTGTCCCTGCCCATGGCAGAAGGGTGGGACAAGATGATTTGTTAAGGTTCCTTCCAATCCAAACTATTCTATGATTTCTATAGGGCATAAACATAAGCAGGAGGAGATACCTGATGCTGTCTGGAACTAAGAATGAGTAACCAGAAGTACCTGGAACCCTTAAGAAATTTAGATTAGATTGATATTGTGTGATGGCAACAAGTTTCTGACTGCGCAAATGGTTTCCCAATCGGATATGTTGATTCAAAATGGACTCTTAGTACAACAAATAAAACTGGTACAAGGCTTCTCTCCTTCT